AAATCATTTTATTTTGTCCTGTAGTGCCAAAGCAAACAGGCTACCTATACAAACTATAAAGACTGTAAATAAAAAGTATAATAGTCTACATTACCTTGCTGTAGGCCTTTTTTTCATCTTAGTATTATTATTGAGCAGCTGTGCATTGAAAGAGCAGGAATCAATCCTTCCTCATTGATAACACACACACATCCAAAAAGTAACTATTTCATATGCTTTGGAGAACACCTTTGAGTTTTGCTTTAAAAGTAGACACTGATGGACCTCAGGTCAGCAGGTAGCTTGTTCCAGAGAGAAGGTTTTTAAATGTTATTGAATTTGACGTTTGCAAGATCGAGTTTTAGAAAAGAGAAAATCAAAACATGTTTCCGCCCGGTCTCGAACCGGGGACCTTTCGCGTGTTAGGCGAACGTGATAACCACTACACTACGGAAACTGCCTGTCATACGGACATGCCGATTTACAATTCATCATGGCATGAATGAACTGCATTCAATAACGATTGTTTGTATCTAAAGTCGGACTGTTTGACATAGTCATGCGATAAAATGAAGAGTTTTATCAGAGTGGTCTATCCTTCTGCTGCTGCTGTAATGACTAACGTTGAAATGTTAAGAAACGTGGTCTCCTTACCTTTACCAAAAGGGTGAAACATCACATCCGTAGTGATGAGGACTACCATAGAGGATGAATGGGAAAAGTTAAGAAAGTTAATGACGGGGACCGTGAATAGTAGTCCTTAACTTCCATCCGTAGTGATAAGTACGACGGAGGATTAGAGCCACGTTAAAAAAAATGTTTCTTTTTTTTATTTCGAGTTTATTTTCGTAATTCTCGTAATTTAACGAGTGCGAGACCAGCCTGCGCATAAATGAGGAAAGAACTCTTCAAGTATTTAAAGAATAAAGTCGTTATTTTAGTCTATATCAGAAGAGCAGCAGCATCCTGTTCTCAAATGAGAAACATGGAGCATCTTGTCCTAAAGGTTTCACTAATAAGGAAATAGGCTACTTCCTTGTGTAGTCGGTAAAAACAGTTAGATCAAGAGAAGTTTTCACTTCAATTTGTAAGACTTTGTTTATCTGTAAAATGATGTATGAACAGGACACAAACTGGCTCTGCACATGAGACACTTTCACAAGGCAGACCGATAACAGACACAAATAGTTGTGTTGGGGCTTTAATTATGCAGATATGAAACTATGATGCTTTTAGCACATCATCATCTTCACATTGTCATAAAATATCAGCACCCTGAAAGGATACTGCAAGAAACTGTGGCATTTCCGAAGAAAGAACCACACTGACTTGGAGGAAGTTGTCTGCAGAGGAAAATACTTTAAGAGTTCTACTTTCATCATTTTCGCAAGCTGGTCCCGAACTCGTTAATTTACGACTTTATTCTCGTAAATTTTCGAGTTTAATCTCGAAATAAAAAAATAAAAATATTAACATGGCCCTAATCCTCCGTCGTATATTCTCATCTATAAGCAGCAAAAAAAAAAAAACATTTTATATCCAAATTCTGTTCTCAGATGTAAAGCCTGCACTTTGTGTTAACTTTAAAGACAGGTGTACTTTCCCTGTATGTGTAGGCCTAATAGATTCACTAATAATATAAGGGATGCGATTTTGCCATTACCTCCCAGAATTTCAATTTACAGATTTCCAGTTGGCTATGATATTTTCAATCATATCTCCGTAGACTTGATCTATAAAACAGGGACTTCACCAAACTATCCTAAATGTAAACGTCATGTAGGCTACGCATCAGGCTGCATTGTTTGTGGGAATGCAGAAAAACTTGTATGTTTTGAAAGGCTGTATGCTCTAGTGTTAGCACAGCAACATGTCAGCTTGGTGTCAGGAAACCCACTTCTTTGTCTGCTTGGAAAGGTCACTGTATCTCTGAATAAAAACACAAGGATGTGATCCAGTTTAGTGCTAGCAAGGAAAGGCATAATAATGAGTGGATATAAGGGCCCTCCTTCTATTTATGTGTTGAAATTCTCAGAGGTTGGATAAACTCGGACACTATGTCAATGGAAGGACTTGGCTTTTCCAACACAAAAGGAGGAAGTCACTGGAACCTTCTGGAGTTCACAATTACTATAATCTGGATTTAAATAGATGATATGATGGACAATTGTGACACTTTTGAATTGGGAGCAATGGGCCTAATATTATACTTAGGCCTACTTATGTTATATCTGTTACGAAGTGAAGTCCCTTATCTCACTTTGTTAATAAAGACATTACATGGACCAGCCAGTAGCATTGTTGTGTTTGGTTGTGTGTTTATTGTTTGTTTATTTGTCTCTGTTATGATAATAATAGACTTTATTTGGCATGGACATCACAGATACATTGGACGAACCAGACGCATTGTTTAAGTGTTTTAGCAAGCATGCTAGTTCTCAACACCTGTCCATTAGCCAGTCATGTGTTAGCATCAAGCTAACAAACTTAGATACATCCACCAGGCCCACCCTGGAGAACAATGCACCAGCAGCCACTGTCTAATGATGGTGCAAGGTTAAGTGTCACGAGAAGACCATCAAACATCGTACCAAAGTTTATAGGATCAGTTGTATAGTTATCAAGATTTTGCCGTCATGACCAGAACAGTGTACCACAAGAGTCACATAAAAACACACAAAGTTGTCTGACCCCCTGTTACCCTTCGGTGGTGGTCCATCCCAGCATCACCATGGTTACACACACAGGACAGAGCGAGGTGATATATGTGTCAGGGAACTCCACGTCTCCATGGCGACGGTAAACAGGTCTGTCAGTGTGACTTACACACAGGTGAAACATTAGCCAGGGAGAGAAAGAGAAGCCACATACACAATCTCTCTCACACACACACACACACACACACACACACACACACACACACACACACACACACACACACACACACACACCTCAGTGGTCGGGACAGATGGCGGACTCACAGAGAACATCTGAACCTCTTAACTTTGTCCATCAGGATGAAATCTGGTAAAACTGCTGACTCTTACTTCTCTCACAACTTTGTTTACTTGTTTTTATTTTTATCTTTTTATAAAATAAAGGGATACATAATTTGAAAAGTGTTCTCACCTTGAATTGGAAGAAGGATGATTAAGTGTGGATCATTTCTAACATAAAGAAGGAGTAATGCATCCGTCTTGATTGAAGAGTATTCCTGCATGCTTTTGTGAATGACTGAATGCCTCATATCTGATATAATTCAGTGGACTCCTTTTCTCTCACAGAATCCAAATTAAAATCCTGGAGCACACGAATCACTTAAGGAAAAATTGATTTGGTGTAATAAAATGGCTTTAAGTGATTGGAGTGCTCCTGTACTTTCTTTCTGTATTCTACCTGAGAGAAGGAGTCCACTGACTCATACTTTGAACGTCTCAGGTCTGAGAGCACCGACCTCCGTTTGTGGAGCGGTTGAAGCGCATGAGATTCCTTAACCTGCCTCATATTGGAAGCTTATTTTTAAGTTCTTGTATACATCCTACTTTTATTTTCCAAAATCATCAGTCAACTGCACTTTATTTCTGTAGGCCAAAAATGTTCTGCATGTTTACATTTCAAAATAAAAGCCCTACTGAGTAAATATGTACAAACAAATCAGACTGTGCACGTCTAAAAATGTGCCTTTACCTTGAAGTAAAGAGTATGAAAAGCCCACATAAGTGTTATTGTTCCTTCACCAGTGTTACAGAAGTTCTCTTTATATATTTATTTAATTTTTAAAAATGCTCTTTTGTGTGTGTTAAATGTTGTGAATCACTTTTTGAACTACCCTTAGTCAAGAGTTGGTTTTAAGAGTAACCCTTCCATTTTCCATTTGATTAAGACCAACTTTTTATATCAATATCAAGACTGGAGGAAAATCATAAATCATAGCCACTAATTGTTAACATTAAACGCTTTTATCTCCCAATAATCTTTCTGGATTTGATTATGGATTAGGCATTTGGATTCCTTCAGCTTTCTTTGAGAATAAGGACGCGGAAAGAAGATTATATTGAGCAGAACTTGTTAGAAAAGTTAAAAGAAGGGGTTTCATGTCCTCTCCGTGAACTATTAAGCCGGTTGTTGAGGCTCAAGCTGTGTGTGTGTGTGTGTGTGTGTGTGTGTGTGTGTGTGTGTGTGTGTTTGTGTGTGTGTATGTGTGTTTGTGTGTGTGTGTGTTTTGTGTGTCATTAGGAAAGCACATGTGAAAATGGAGAAGGATGCAGCAAATGTCTGGCCCAACAAGTGGGGATTCCTGACCGAGACCTACAAAGAGGTACACACACACACACACACACACACACACACACACACACACACACACACACACACACACACACACACACACGTCTGAGACATATTTTCTATTTACGTTAGTATCGTGGTGATGAGCGCCCTCTAGTGTTGTTATTGGTACCACAGCATGTGGCACCAATAACAACAACAAAAATAGCCCCTTTGTGTTCCTGTTTTGAAACGCAAAGAACACAAAATTACTTCACGTTTTTGTCTTTCTCCTTTTAGTACGAGAGTGAGAGTGTGAAACTGAAGGAGGGGGGAAGAGAGGAGCTTCTACATCACCTGAAACCACCTGTGACAACTCAAGAAAAAGACAACAAGGTACACTATCTGGGCTACCTACCTACTTACTTCCCTCCCTCCCTACCTACCATCCTTGCTTTCTTCCTTCCTCTCTTCCTTCCTTCAATTCTTCCATCCTACAATCCTTCCTTCCTTCCTTCCTTCCTTCTTACCTTCCTGCCTGCCTACTAACTCTCACCTCCCTACTTACCTTCCTTCCTCTCATCCTTCTTTCCTACCTTCCTACATACCTTCCTGCCTGCCTGCCTGCCTACTTACCTACCTTCCTTCCTTCCCACCCACATACCTCTCACTTAATACCCTGACAAGCTGCCTACCTACCTCTCACCTTTCTACCTACCTGACTGACTGTCCACGTTGTTTCTTGCCTCAAGGTTGGCCCGTCTCCTACTGTCCCTCGGACGACTCAGGCTCTGATTGGCTGGCGTTCGGCTCACCCAGATCTTCAACTCGAAAAGTTTGGCGTGGTGCATCATGGGAGGCGTAGTTTTCTGAAGGAGCTTGGCTGGCCGCTCAACGCTTGCATCTGACAGGAAGCCACAAATCTTTGTGGTTTGCCAAACATACATTCTTTGTGTTCATATGAATTAACCCCTATACTTCACTATGATTTTATAGCTGCATTATAGTGAATCGAATATTTGGTACCTAGCATTTATCACTTTATTATAACAGATTTTCAATAAATATGGGAGATTTCAAATGTGGATTAATTCTTATGTTTGACCTTTATCAAATCAGTTTAATAAAGTTGTGATGATATTTTTGTTTATTAAAAACTCAATTTCCCATGCTCCTTTTGCTGTTAGTTTTCCTTTATGTACAAGCTGCCTCACACCAATTGGCTAGATTGATAAAGTTGTATAAATTCAAATGAACTAAAACTTGCCAAATACTCTTCACCATGTTTCTCTTTCCCTTGTCTGTTAAGAGGAAAAGTCAATCCTGCTCCACTTTACAGAAAAGACATTCATGACATCAGAAAAGGGCAGTAACCCCTCCCCCAGGTGGGTGACACTCCCACAGCTAGGTGTTTGTTCTGCTCTCTGAGTCTGCCTTCTCACCGTAAACCATAGGGCATGGAGCGAGAAAGCCAGAGACACCCAAGCCCTTCCAGAGAGGGGGCGTGGTCAGAAGAGGATAATATGTGACCTTTAAAGCTAGCGAAAAAAAGTAATCTTTCACTGTTATTGACAGACCTAACACAATTCTTGATTACAAATTGGTGATGTCTTAAGTTGTAATGACCCTGGGGGGGTTCAGGTTAGGGACTTCAGAGCACTATAACACTGAGAGGCGAGCAGATAGCATTATTACATTAAATATATGAGATTATAGTTTTATATTTGGTACTTAAACTTTTTTTTATTCAAGTCCCCTGAAGTCCAAAAAAGTAAAAAAAAAGAAACTTCAGGGACTCCGTAGAATCGACTTGTTGCTGAAATGTGCTCTATAAATTAAAGAAAAAAACCCTGCCTTACTGCTTCTACTAATATTAATAATAATCCCTTCCTTTTATTAATTGTATTGCTTTTAACCTTTTTATCTTTCTCTTATTTAAATGTTTTAGCCTTTAAATGTATCCCTTCCTCTATTAATTTTAATGCTCTTAGTCTTTTTAAATTGCTACTCCTTTTACCGTTTAACTCTTCAGCTCTCTGTTGCTTTATTCATTTAACCAACGTCCTGTTTATCCCTTATTTTTATCTTCATTCTGTGTTTACAGCCTGTGATGTGATGTCGTCCCACTCTCCCTCAATTTTAATTTTGTTCTCTCCTGGTTGATTTTAAACTAATTTTCCTTCATTGTATTGAACTGCCTCTCCATACCTGCCTGTTGAATCTATCTTATTCCTGTTATTTGCATTTTTACAATTTTGCCCTATCTCTTTGGCCCCTCTGTTGATCTCTGATCTGTTGTCGTGCTGCTGTATTTGCTTTGTTTGTAAACATTTGTTTTTAAAGGTGCTATATAAATAAAGCTATTATTATTATTATTATAGTAAACCTCACAATCACCATGGCCTTGAAATGGGTTCAATAAATCAAAATTATATTTGTATAATTCTAGAATTATAAAGCTGTTAAAAGTGGAATTCAAATTAAATCCCTATGTTTGGAAATATATATAAATGTTTTTTTTATTTATTTAAACAATGCACTATTTATACATTATGTCAAACAAACAATAATACAACAATACCTGAGAGCTGCTCAACGAATTAAAATAAAACTTTGTCATAAACATGACGGATGAAATAGGATATTAATGGTAAAATAATTATAAAAACTTCGAAATATACTCAAAAAATAAATAAATAAATACCGCAATGATTGTACAAATATATAATATCAGTAATATAATGCGATAAATATTAAAAACATATAATTCATTGAACGTCAGGGTGTTATGAAGTGACTTAAATTCAACGAAGAACCTGAGTGTGGAAATATTTTGTCACGCAAAATTCCCCTCACGTATGAGTCACGTAACAGCGCTGACGTAATGACATCACGAGGCCTCCTAACAGCGCTGACGTAATGACATCACGAGGCCTGTCTGGAAAAGCGGAAGAAGAGACAAAAACAACAACAGCAGCCGAACTGCAGCTCGGCGACGGGAGTTACTGAGAGAGACGACAATTTAACGAATACCCGCTCGGAGTAACAGCACCGGCGCTGTTTGGTTACGGTTAATCCAGTGTTAATTGTTTACAATTAGTGGCAAAATGTCCGGTGGAGGTTTATTCGGGAAGTTATTCGGTGGCGGGGGAAAGGGTGGGAAATCGGCGACACCCCAGGAGGCTATCCAGAAACTCCGAGAGACCGAGGAGATGTTGGCCAAAAAACAGGATTTCCTAGAGAAGAAGATCGACCAGGAGCTCATGACGGCGAAGAAGAACGGCACAAAAAATAAACGAGGTGAGAAACAGGATCCTGAACTAGTTTTAAAGAGCGCTAGCGAGTTAGTTGGATAGTTAGTTAGTTAGCCCGCAGGCTAACCAATCAGGAAGAGGAAAGTTGACGAGTTGGACATGAACACAGCGGCTGTCCTCACGACCGCCTGACTCTTTAAAAGCTATTTTAAGTGCAGAACAATGTTAGCACGAATGCTTTTAATAAATTAACCAGGGAGAATTTATAGGGACAAAGTATAGCTTAATATGTCTCAGAGAAAGTTATAAAAGTAGTCTTGGCTGTAATCGTCAAGGGAAGCTGTCAACCTTGAGACTGTCACTGACGATCTGTGCCAATGAAACCCAACCCAAAGTAACTCACACGGCTAAATCTACAATCTTAGCAAGTGTATTTGTCAAATTTCATGTGAAAAATGTCAAATTACACTCATTATAATCCAAATTCACCTGACAAGAGCAGATAAAACATCTTATTTCAAGGTCTACAAAGCAACAAATGAGGCCATGAAGGCTTGTAATGAGTAAGAATATCTGTAAACGCAGCAGGCATTATTGACTGAAGTCTTAAAAATGAGTCATACTAACTACTTTAGATCGATCAAAATAATACATTTTATGTATAAAGCACTTTTCGAGGACTCAAAGACACTATACGTTAAAAAAGGGAAAAGTAGAAAGACAAAGACAACAATTTGAGAATAACTAACAAACTTTGCAACAGTACACACAGCAGGTCACATAAACAGCTAAATATGAACCCCACATTTTGAGGACAAGCAGCACAACCACACACAGATTGTACATGTTTGAAATGCTTTTTGTGCCTGTGTGAACCGCCTGGTGTCCGACAGGTGCTACATTAAGTTAACTTGCCTTACAGCTAATTTCAAGACACTTCACATAAGGCTGTATTTTTTGCTTTAATATCTTGATAAAAGATGTTTACCTGGACTTGTCAGGTGAATATAGCTTGAAATAAGTGGTGTTAGAGGTTTTGCTTAGAAACTGCCCAAATAACAAATACTGTTAACTTGCTGAGATATGAGTGTGTGCGCTGTGTAACAACGGATCCAGGTCATGAAATAGTTTCCTGAACGTGTCCTTGTAGGTATTTATGTGATTGTCTTGACTTATCAAGTAAATAGCCCTTTAACTCTGTAACTATCACAGCCAGGGCATGTTTTCAACCATAGATACATTCACTCATATCAGCATTTAATGACTTTAATGAATGATTTTTAGTATGTTTAAATAATCAAAACGAGGTAATTTCAGGTCATGAAGATTATCTTTTAGGCCATCGCTGTTGACAGGGAGTGAGCAGGACTACGGACAGGTTTGTGACTGATAATGATCAGAGCAGGGTAGAAGTGTAAACAGGTTTATATTGTGTTTGTGAAGCCTTTGCCACGAGTATATTGCTGTAAAGGTCCACAGTTGATGAGCTCACTGCAGCTCAGCACAGCAGACAACCAGACTCTCAAATTCTTCTACATTTTTATGGGGTTCTTGTCGTTCTTCTTCCAATGCGTGCTGGAGCATTGAGCACCGCAGCTGACTTTTATTGCAGCATAAACATGGCACACTTATGGCTGATGATTATAAACACAAAAACCTTCTGCACAGAAGAAAACAATTTAATTCTCAGCAGATTTAGGCCTTAACAAACTGTCATTTTATAGGTTGGGAGGAGAAAGGGAAAATGCCAAGACATCAAACAAGCCAAAAATAGTAACTGCTGGATCCAGATCACATTCAGATCCTACTCGTACTACACACACCTGTTTGCTTTGTGATGATTTATGGGAAGCAGTTCATGTAACACACCAACTCCCTGCCAACGCATGCAGCGACAGGCCCCTTATAACTGTCAACAAGATAATCAGGTATGACTAAGGGTTGTATGCTGAGCACAAAATGACAAAATATGTGGGGGGAAAAATGCAGCTTTCTGGAAACCTGAGCAGCCGTGTTTCTGCAGAAGCGTGTAGTACTACCTGTCTGTTTGTTGAGCTTAACTGAGGATGAATCTGCTCATGTTTTAGAGCTAAAAGACAAGACATGATTAAAAGTCATCTACCGGTGCAGCTCCACTACATACCACAAGTCGCAAAGACCTCACTTGTCGCCTAGTCTCCCTGCTGCTTGTGGGCGTGAACCTCCACGGCCTCACAGACAGCTGTCAGTCACAGCAGAGCATACAAAACGAAGGTCAAACCAACTTTTTTATTTAGGTCAAATGGGTCAAGATTCAGAAACTACATGAAAAATATCTTGCACCAAATGCGTTCACAATGAGATTTCAGTGCTCTGTATATTTATAAAAACATATTTTTACATTACGACAAAGCCACCATGTTGTTTCTGGTTTGAATGATGGGGAAAAAGCCTTTCCTGTCAATAAGAGGTCTACCCTCTGCCAACAGAAGGTGTCTGATCCAACCTTCACAACAGGGTCCTAAGACGCTGGCTACACTCTTCTCCTCTGTCGCCCCCCGGTGGTGGAATTAACTTCCAAACTCCATTCGATCTGCAGAGTCCCTCTGCACCTTTAAGAAAAAGCTAAAGACAAAGCTCTTTATGAATACCTGCTTCGACCTTAATGATGACGAAGGTCTCGATATTATTGATGATGATGATGGTAATGACGATGGTTTTGTTGATAACGACGACTTATAAGACGGTTTCTATACTGATTAGAGCTCTCAGGAACTGCCGTCAATGTTGTGCTTTGCCTCTGTGCAATGCTTTGCACTTACTGACATTGTTTCCTTTTTTCTAGATCCTTGCTCATGTTGTACTTACTCTCTGATGTACTTCGCTTTGGATAAAAGCGTCTGCTAAGTGAATTGTAGAATTGTAGAAGAACCAAACTAGCACTGGTGCTAACGTTGTGGACTTTTTACACACTCACACATACACAGTTACTCTCCCACTATGTTGTCGAGCAGAGACGCCTGATTGGACGACTTTGAAAATGAAATGGTCGTTGTGAAAAGGTCTGCTGTACTTTTTAGAGAGCTGTGAAAACAGCAAATATCATCTACTGACATAACAACGTTTGGCTTCATGGGAGTGTCACTATAAAGTTTAAACAACTGATTCAATTCAAACTGTGAGGCTTAAATGTTTCATAGTAAACCTCCTGGAGCAAAACTAGCAAGTGTATCTCGTGACTGACAGAGGAAACAGGAAACCTTCAACCTTTGAAGCCTTTCGATACCACATGTTTTAAAATGTTACAGTTCATGTTTTTTAAATGATCCATAGTATCGAACAGCCAGAGAAAAAACAACCTAATAATCATTTTTTTAACCCAGATCTGCTGAGGGGAGGTCCATTCAAATTTATGGGTCGGCAAATAATGATGTTCCTCAAGTCCTGTTGTAGTATGATAAAGCTGCAAAAGTTAAGTTTATGTCTCTTACAAACTCACAGAGAGCGGGGGAGATGACACTGTTTAAATTTCACAAATACGCACAGAAACGTTGCCGATGTTGTTGTGCAATTCAGACATTGTGCAGGAATTTTAGGTGTGTTAGAAACTAAAAACTGTCCTTGTATTGGGTGACAAGGAGGACTTCTATTTCTTTGTTGCTGTCAAATCCAAATAGGTTTCACTATCGTTAGATTTTTTACTTTTAAGTCAAAGCTCATTAGTTGAACTAAGAAATAAAAGTAATAAAAACACAAAAATGTGATGTCATTGTACGATTATACGTCTCTGATGGAAGTTTTTCAGGAGAGAATCCAAACTATTGTTATAGTAAGATTGTGTAGAAGGATGCTGATCATTGCTGCAAGAAGGTTTGGCACACCACAAAAACTAGTTGCGTAAAGTCAGACTGCCAGCTGTGGCTTCTGAGAGATCTGTGACGTAACCATGACTCCTCACAGACCACTGCCACTGTCAGCTCATCTAAACGTCTCTTTCCTCATCACACGGGACAAAAGCTTCTCACATTGAAACCTGATTTTCAACATATTTCATCCTGTCACTAAGGCTCGCTCAAAAATAAGTTCCTTCCTAAAAGTTATTGAAAAAAAAAAGGTGGAGCGATGTGGAAGAAAACCTAGAGAATGTCATCATCGGGGTTTTGCAACAACTTGATTTGATTCAAGAAAAAAATAAAATTATGCTGTAACTTGTCGCAACAAGGAGGATGATTTTTTTTTTAACTGGGAGCGCTCGAAGCGGCTGCACAAAAAAGCCGGAGCGCTCGGATAAAGGATGTATGATGCTGCGCTTTTTCTCTGGGCGGCCACCTGCTGCTGCACACACTCTCAACTCCTCATTTGGAAATTAAAAAAAAAAAAAAATTGTAGGAACTCAGAAAACTACAGCAGGCCCTTGCTTACCTGGGGAATGGGAAACAACTACGGATGACAGATTTTCTTTGTTCCTTTTTCGGAGCACATGAGTTATTCATTTCTGTCAGCACCTAAAGACAATTTCATCTAAAATCTGAAATGTGGATCTGGATAAAATTACGAACCCTGCCTTTAATGGATAATTTCTCCCAATTGTTCTTAACAATGGTTAGGCTTCCTCCAGATATATTAATAACTTGTGTATCTTATGTCAGCTGCATATTGTTGGTAGCAGAACCTAGCGACGTCATGTTACCCGTGAAATGTTCATGGTGTTTGTATAAGAAAAGAGCAGGAACATTTGATAAAAACAAGATCATAGAAATACAGTGACCTTGTGAAACAGGTACAGTCTGAACACAGCTGTACAGTACTCAGATTATATTTGTATGATGTTTGGTTATGATGTTACCAGTCCAGGAATAGACCTGAGTGCTGATTTAATCAGATGAGATGGATCAGTCAGCGGCTGTCTGGCTCCTGTGGACCAGAAAGACAACATGCAGGAGGCTGATGAAGGTGTTTGTGAAAAAGTAAAACCCAGTTATTTATTTATTTATTCTAACCATTGTTTGTTTAGATGCATGATGAGCTGTACATAGATGTCTCTGAAGTTTTTCTTGCAGACCATAATTTTTCAAAAGCTTCGGATGCTGCCCGTAAAATTTCAAGAGTTTGTCTTCATTTGTTTAAAAAAACAAAAGATATTTTTGCCCATGTTTATAGTTCTGTTCGTGGGTCGGTTTGTGGGGCTTCACTAAAGCCCGGCATGTAGGATTGTAGAAAAGGTGAGGTGGAATGAAAGCTCACACTCTGAGTGGAATCGGGATGGAGGTTAAGGTTAGAGGTTTGGTTTCAGACACTTTCTGTTTGTGCAGACACGATCAGGAATCAGCTCGTGTCTCTGCTCTCACTGTGCGAGTGTTTGCAGTCGTACGACCAAAATTTAAAACATGCCAGAAAATCATCTTGGGGAGCAGCCGATCGGGCTGTGAACTGCGGTGGTGCACCACTGAAAGCGCGCTTTTCAGATGAAATTCATTACGATTTTAGATTGAAGAAATCATGTTTTAATCAGCCTGAAATTGAACAGTGTACACCGGCCGTTAGGCAGAGCCACATGGTAAGATAGGCCCTGTGTCCACCTAGTGTTTATTTCCGGGCAGAAAAGCGCTGCTGTGTGCTCGGGAGTGTTTGCACAAAGTGTTTGTGTGTGTTGACCGACACTGCTCCATTACTTTTTAATGCATGTTTTATATTTGGGATCGTTTATTTACCGATCAGACGTGGAGCGAGGAGGATGTTGGTACGAGACACGATCTGTGGGCGGCAAAACTACGGGGAATATTATACAATTGGAAAAGTGTGCTGATGAGGTCAACAGTGCCTTTTTGAAAAGTTGAAAGATTTTAAACTTGAGTGCTTGGAGCGGGCGCACAATAAAGGCATAGCGCCTGGAAAAAAAGACGCTGGGTGCTGCACTTTTTCTCCAGGCGGCCGCTTTCTACTGCGAGCTCTCTCTCATTAAAAACATTTTTTAAAAGTCACTGGCGCTCAGAAAAAAACACTAGGCAGACACAGGGCCTCAGAGATACTTCCAAGTGATGTTATGCTCTGAAACCCTCTCACTGTGCCCACTGTTTGCTTATTCAGGGACTTCTAACCAAAGAAATCAGCGAAGTTCTGAATTAAAGTAATATTTTAATTCTCTTGATGTCTGCAGGAGTTTGAACTGTGTTAACGGCAATGTCTTGTTGTGTGCGGACCAGATAACAGCATGACTGAACTTTGCACTTTACTGAAGTTCACAAATAGTTCCAGTTCCCCGCTGCTGCACATGAGGGCGACAACAAGAACAACCCAAACCTTCGTCATATCTCTTATCGTCTACCCTTGATTCTTAACTGAAGCTTTAATCCAACACACACACTTCACATCTCTGGTGAATTCATCGCCTCCCTTCCTCCTCAAGTATGACTCAGCAGATTTGTATCACCGGCTCCCTTGCTGACGTGCTTCCCAATGCCACATCACAGGGGAATCCTTCATTGTAGTTTAGATGATTGTTGCTATGGTTTCGGCACACAGCAACCTTTGCAGGTAAACAGAGAATGTACAGACATCACTTTTCCCACTTCAGTATTAAATACATTGATGGGCTAACACCCAATTTCCACATACTCCATGCCCACCGCGGGCTGTCAGCACGACGCACTACGCATTAGTTTGCTGCCACTCTAGTCAATCATTGTGTTTTCACAGCGGGCGCCGCGGTCCGTCTCCAGCAGCGTCACTACGCTCTGCCCTGTTTCAAATATGCTGCGAGTCTATTTTCGACAGAGTACGCTGCAGGCACACATCAAGCTGGACAGAATAGAACAACCTGGACAGGAAGTCAGACAAGGAAACTCACAGAGCGTCCAGTCAATTTCAAAATAAAGCACAATATACAGACTCAGGATCGTATTTTTCATCACTTTATTAACATTACATCCAAATAGGCGCCGAAGAAACAACAAATCATGCTCAGAAAGACAAAGCAACATGTTTTAAAATGCATGTTTTTCTCTTTATTTCCGCATGATCTTGTAGTTCTCCTGTGATGTGTGTACAGCGATTGGATGGGTGACAGCTTTAATTTCTTCTGTGCTGATAAATGTGCCCAGTTTACATGAACTTCTATCAGATGTTTCTATAAACATACATCAGGGTGCACCCATATTATTTTTCTGTCATCTGAGTTCTGGTTATAAGATAATGAAACATCCCTGAAACACCAGCACGGGTAATAACAGTCGTTTATCATCCCTTTTATAACCCATGTAAAATCTGACCGCCACATTATCCCCAAATCCCAAAACATCCCACAGTCGTGTCACACTCTTAAATATATTGATCGTGTTCATTTTGGATGAGGCTTCAGTGAGCGTGCTAAGATGTCGGCCTCGTTAAAGAGAGACAAACTGAACTGCCCACGACGTCTGCAGGCACAGATTTGTCTCAGACAGGATTTTATCAGATTAACAGAGTCGTGCTTCATCAGGACAAACATTATAACTCAGCATGCAAACAGTTCAGTGCAGCACAGATGCTCCTGCCGCTAATCTGTCCTCCATCACTCACCAAAAAAAGCAAAGTGCTTCTGCTGCATTGTCACGCAGAACAAATACAAAGGTGATGGAATCATCACTCACTGCTTGGGATGCGTCTGTGTTGGACTCTCCCATGTTCACTGGAAGTGTTGTAGAACAATTGTAAATGAAGGCTACACGTTTTAATCCCTAAAAAAGTCCTTAACACCTACTAGTTTGTTTTTATACTGAGAGAACATGCAGGACTGTAAACCGCCTCATTTATACCATAGCTCTGTACCTACAGCGAAAGCCTGTCGTGCAGCTCCTCAAAAGTCTTAAGGCCCTGACACACCAAGTAGTCGGCCGTCGGTCCTAGTGGGATGTTGAATCGGCGTCAGTGATAGGAATCTCTCTGATTGGCTGTTGGGAGGTTTCATTTCTCTCCAGCTCTCAACTCAGGTTCAGGAAAGCCCCTTGAGCATGCCGCTGTAGTATCCATGTTTTCACCCATTAGTGAGGTTTCTCCTTATTTGTCTCCTCCACCGTTTCTTTTCTTTTTCCACTAAAAGACCAAGGGCTGACGACGCCAGCGCCTTTTTCAACTTTTTATCAGACATTATTCTCCATTTGTAGACTACCTATAATACGAGCGACAGCGATGTGTAAAAACAGACTGCTGGCATGGAGAGTTATTTCCTCTCATGCATGTGCAGAGCATACGTGGTGGTTGGTTGCTGGCTGGAGTCTTTGCCAACTTTTTTGCTTTCGTTGCCACTAGCTCTTTTGCCGTCTGCTTGGTGTGTCAGGGCCTTTACAATGCGTTGAAACGATGCATGCAACCATAAAACTTGTGATTGGGCCGCTGGGTATCATCGTATTTCTGGATTTACAACATTCAGGATTTTGCCGCCGTTTCCATAAATCTGTTGCTGAAGGATTTTGTTTAATAACAACGACTTATAAGATGGTTTCTATACTAATTAGAGCTCTCAAGAACTGATGTCAATGTTGTGCTTTGCCTCTGTGCAATGCCTGTCAGCACCTGTTTGTCCAATCGGACTCAAAGCTGATCGTTTGCTCTTACTGACATTGTTCCCTTTTTTCTAGATCCTTGCTTGTGTTGTATTTACTCTCTGATGTACGTCGCTTTGGATAAAAGCGTCTGCTCAGTGAATTGTAGAATTGTAGAAGGAACAATGCTACAAGCCAGCGTAATCAACTGCTGCTCAATATTTATCAGCTTGTACTCCAACATGACGCTCTCAGTTTCAGTCGCAATGGTTTCCTGTATAAAAAAGCGGAGAATGTGGCAGAATTAGAAACTATAACAATAGTAATTTTGCTTAAACCAGACTTAAGACTCCACGGCTCAGCCTCCTCTTGTCTCCTGAACTTACTTTGACCTTTCTTCTGTGTTTCAGCGGCTCTGCAGGCCTTGAAGAGAAAAAAGCGCTACGAGAAGCAGCTGGCTCAGATCGACGGCACGTTGTCTACCATCGAGTTCCAGAGGGAGGCGCTAGAGAACGCAAACACCAACACAGAAGTGCTCAAGAATATGGGCTACGCCGCCAAGGCCATGAAGGCCGCTCATGAGAACATGTAAGAGAATTTTAAGGAGGAAGATTATTAGTTCATTTTGAAGCATATTTGCATGAATGAATATATTTAATAATTTCTTCTCTCTGTCTCTCTCTCTCTCTCACAGGGACATAGACAAAGTAGACGATCTAATGGCTGAAATCACAGAACAACAAGAAGTGGCTCAAGAAATCTCGGACGTCATTTCCAGACCGGTTGGTTTCGGGGAAGAGTTCGACGAGGTAAGGACAAACACGAGAACCCTTTCCTCCTCTCAGGAACCTTACCTGTCTTTAAACCAGTTATTTCATTACAAGTACATTTTAAAGATTGAATCAACACCACATCTTTTGATACAACAACACACAAAATATGATAGTTTCCTTTATTTATTTTATTTTATTGATTTTACCTTTTGTAAATACAAAAGGTGCTGCTGCAGAGAATCAATAAACAAATCCCAACACGTGTAGAAAGATGGATTTGATGATACTGTGAAGGTTTTTTGCCCTACAAACATTTTGTGCAAATGTGCATTGGATGCGGTTGTGTGTGTAGCTTGGCTGCATCAAAATAATACCTGGCACCTTTTCTGAAGGTAGTAAAGGTGTGAGGTTTGTTTATTTCGATGCTTCCTGTATAGAATATCAATTTATCAATCCAGTGGTACCAGGTAGCGGTTACACTTTGCTCAAACTCGACCGCTTGAATTCAAACATTTGTGTCTGTTGGTTTCAGGATGAGCTTATGGCTGAGCTGGAGGAGCTGGAACAGGAAGAGCTCGACCAGAATCTTCTGGAAATCGAAGGAGCAGCGGACGTTCCTCTACCCAGCGTACCGTCTACATCACTACCTGCTAAACCAGGTATTACATGCCACTAAAATAACACTTCTGTTTAACTAAAGCAGGAAAAGTATGCAGCGCACTAGAGTTTCGTTAAACCTCCCCCACATGGTCCCGGGGTAAACGGTATTACAGTGAAGACCACGTTGTAAGACTTCAGAGGAGCCGGCTAAATCATTCATGTTTATAGACGTCATGCTGTCAACATTTTTAGGGATGCCCAAGTATATTATTTTATAGCTATTTTCCCACCTTTTACTTTTTTTTAAAGTTTTTTTTTTGGGCATTTTTTGCCTATATTATGAAGGACAGCTGAAAAGAGGCAGGAAGTGTTGGGAGGAGAGAGAGTGGGGGATGACATGATACAAAGGGGAACAGTCGGATTCAAACCCAGAGCCGCTGCGATGAGGAGTTCAGCCCCCATACATGGGTCACACAACATAACCCGTTCGGCTATCGGCGCACCTTTGTCGACCTTTTCTATCCATATAGTTAGAGAGAGAGAGAGAGAGAGAAGTCCACTCGTACGTCGTAAAACAGAAGCTTTGTGTGCCTTCATTTTAATATTGTTCTGCAGCTGCTTGCTGTGGATGATGCTAAGTTCATCCGCTTCTGTGTTCCTATTTTATCTCAAAAGGCGTGTTGACTCTGACAAAAAGATTTGATTGTTTGAGTAGCTTCACACGTGACAATTTCAGACAAATGTTTTGGTCTGTGACCCCCCCTGGCCCAAAATATTATGCCTCTGAAACCACTACCATGAAGTCAAGAAAAGCTGCGACTATTTTATTTTATTTTTTGATGGAAATGAAACTGATACCTTTGCCATTTTACTGTAAACCGCCCAAGCCTAGAGCATACTATCAACATCACTGAACAATACACTATAGGACAGTTGAATTTAGTGTTTGTTCTTTTCTGCTTGTTTCTTTTTTAGCCAAGAAGAAGCAGGAAGAAGACGAGGATGACATGGCTGACCTGGAGGCCTGGGCCGCTAACTAAGCTAACCAGCGCCCCTCTCCTGTCTGTCTCTGCGCTACCAGGCTGCTCTCAGACATCTGGAAGAGAGACAGGGACTCTGGGCTGCTGGCATGCTGCTCTGTCTTAAAGCCGACGTCCCAACATCTAACCTCACCCTCATCCTGAAGTATGCACTTGTGCACAAATTCACTGACACCAAATGAAATGCACCCAGGCTGTTCTCCTCTGATTAATGTTAGAATCTCTCTTGCTCCGGCTGCACACTCCTCTCTTTCTAAAGGGCACTGAGTAAAAGTCGTGCCCTTAGCAGCCTGTGGTTCTCTATATTGAAGGTCTCTGTAAGAGCGCACGAGTGAGCACTTAAGTCAGGAGGGCACAAGTGCATACTTCGAGGGCAGGGTGTGCGGAGGAACAGGGGAAAGGCTTGTTCTAAGAGGAATGTGAAGAATCAACAAATGTTTGGGGGGGAAAAACTAAACAGAAAGACAACATGACTCAGCCATTTTTCTGCTTCCTGCGTCTTCATCTCTCTGCTCTTCTGCGATGACGGCGACATCATCCAACCATCCACAGCTTCTCTGCCAAACCTCGGCAGCAGCAAACGAAGAGGAATGAAAAGCTTGAGGATTTTTCTCATTGAAATGTCACAGTTAAACTACAGGTTGATGACGCGTTGAAAGCAGAGAAGCAAAGAAGAATACTGGTAATAGAACGAGATTTTTAACATCATTAATACGCAGCTGCTGCTTCATTTAACAACCTGTACTGGTAAAAATCAAGCGACACTCATACATGTTTGATACCATGGCAACAAAAACACAAGTCCTGGACACTCCAACTCCGGCACACAGTCTGAATGCACAAATACATTTTTCAGTATCGAAACGTTGCTACCGGATTTGGCTAATTTACACAGTGATCAAACATTCTGACGACCTTACACGCTTTTTCTAGCCTCCCAGACGTTAACAACTTCATGTTTGTAATCATTTAATTAAAAAAAAAAAAAAACATCTTTGCCTCCTGTGTGACAGACATAAGCGTGAAATCCTTTGACCTCTTTTGGATTATTCTCACAGATTTTGGAAGCGTGTGATAATTCACATAAAAAGAAAAACTGCTGAATTAACAAATATAATTTTGTTTGATAAATTCTCGATTCTTCAAAGTCTCTTCAAATTGTCTTTAAAGCTCCTCTGAGGACTTTTTGGCTGGTAATGAAACTGTCTGAGACTCGTATCGATGTCTATGAAAACAATCTTTAAACGCAAACAAGACAAGATTGACCTTTTCCCATTTTGTTATTTTTATTTTCTGAAACTGTTGCCGGAGGGTTAAGGCGTCACACGAGGCGATTACCAACACGCCGTCAAAGCAGCTTTCTTGTCCTACAGCAAAGTGCACGTTAGACGTGTTAATTAAAAGAGCGATTATTTTTCATTTGTGAGAAAACACATCTTGAACATGTACAGGAAAGAGACTATCAACCCGTTTGTCCACAGGAGTCGACACTAAATTCAGTAAAACCCAAAAAGTTCCTCCCAGTAACCTGAATCTATCCTGGTGGGTTAGCTGGGAGCAACTGCTAAAACTGTTTGGATGCTTAATATGTTTCCTCTTTGATATATGGAGGCTATAGGCTTGTTTTAACAGTTCCAGAGTGGCGTCGTCTGTTGGTTTATGGAGTTCAATTCAGAGGCCTCAAGTGTGGCCTTCCGGGCGCCCCGCTTCACATCGCCCCTCTTTTTTTTTTTTTTTTTTTTGAGCCAGATGTGACCATGTCCCGACCGGACGCTGTAATATTTCTGTGCCTTTTACTAAAAAAAACTGACATCTTAACGAGTATAATTCTCTCACTGCTAGTAGAAAACATCTGATTACACTTTAATATAAGCCCCCTTCACCTGACAGTCCAGGTACACACCTTATGTACAAAAAGGCCTGAACTGCTCGTAGTGAGTAAGAATAGCTGCCAAACAAACGACAAAGCAGAAAGTACGTGCTAAGCGTTCTTATATTAAGTGTAAGGAGATATTTTAGACACGCAAACGCTCCGATACGATGTGAGTTTTTGCAGTGTGATTTTCGGTTTAGCTCGTTTTCCATCACAGTCGGCGCCTCGTTTGATAAAAATTAACCTGCTGCATTGACAAAAACTAAAAACCTCCGACTGAGACCGAAAAGGCGTTAGAAAGACTTTTACTGAGGTGTGAGAAGTGGCCTTCTTTTTCCTTCAGTTTTCTAAACAATGGGACCACTGTGTTAGCTAAAGTCGCTCTGTAATAAGCTGTTAGCATGATCGCGCAGTAGCGTTCTTAGATCTTCAGCGTTGTTGGACCTCCGTCATGGCTGCCAGAGGACGTATAACACCACCTTTACTTTCAACACGTGTGAAACCTCCTGCTGTTGTCAGTCTGTAGTTTAACACTGACGTGTAATCTGAGGACGTCCTTCATGGTTTGAGTTTAAAGATGATGTGTGAGTGTGTGTGAGAGTGTGTGTGATGTTTTTTCAGCCTATGGACACGGTGACCTCTTGTGAATATTTAGTCTTTTTTTTTTTCTCCATTCTGCTCTTGAATCATTTGATTTGAACATGGAGACACTTACATAACTAATGTTAGTCTTCATTTTACGATGATAATAATATATCTTCTGCTCGCTGCACCCCTCCCCCTTTGGTTTGATCCACACTACCCTCCCCGTCTGTCAGGGGACACGTCTGTGGACGGAAGGATGGTTGAGATAGTATTTAAACATGATCCAAGTCTTTAAATAAAGGAAACAGATGAATAAAGAATGTGTTTGTGTCTGTTTGGAGATCCCAGCCCTGATACCAAAGACACCATGTTGAAATGAGACTTGTGAATTCTAGTGGAGTTTACCTTGCTAAGAGGTCGGCCATGTAGCTCTGTGACTGTGGCGCCTGGGGTGGCCAATCAGATTTGAAGGGGGGCCCATGCATGCCACCCCTTTGGACTCACCGCTGGGTACATCGAAATGCCTGCACCTTCAGTCACTTGTGACTGCAGCTCTTGACCAGGAGAAAATGTGGTCAGGTGGTGTCCACCTTCCTCCAGATGTTTTCTACCCTGAACCACAATATCCCCCGGTTGGCGGGTCTGCAGTGATGGCCAGTCACTGCCCATCTCCTCCTTGTTTACAGCTCTTCTCATCCCGCCTGAATCAAAGCCAGCAAGAGGCTCTCTCTGCTGCCTCCCCCCCAGAACATCACCCCCAGTGACCTGAAATAGCCAAAAGCTAAGCTGTTAAATAAAGGGTTGCATTGATTTAGTGACAGTTGAGTGTTGTGTACATACCTGAGTTCACCTCCTTTCAGACTCTTTCACTGGATTTTAGACTTGCACGTCTATTTGTGTATAATTGTGCAGTCTAAATTCACACCAGACTCAAGTTTAAGGGGTGTCTCTCCGTTCTTAATTTAGCTCTAGGATAACATTACTATACCAGTAGCCTGAGATGAGCTTCTTCTCCTCGAGGCTGTAAGACTTCCCCTCCTTGGGTTTCAACCCCTATGAGATATCCAACAGCCATATGGCAATTTTCACAAAGTTCTGATGTTAGCTGTCCTTGTAAAATAACATTCATTAGCATTTTAATAGAACTTTGCATACAACACAGAAAAAGTATATGGTCTCCCACAGGCTGTTAACTAACATTAGTGATCCTCTCCCTGACCAAAATGAAAGAAAAACTACAGAAAAGGTCATTTAATATTATAGTATGAAGTCATGGTTAAACTTTCAGACGCATCCTGATGATAAATTATTCCTTTATGATGCAGCCTCATAAAGCCTTCATAAAGGAATAATTTATCATCAGGATGCGTCTGAAAGTTGAACCATGACTTCATACTACATACAAAGAAAAACTACAGAAAAGGTCATTTAATATTATAGTATGAAGTCATGGTTCAACTTTCAGACGCATCCTGATGATAAATTATTCCTTTATGAATTATACGAGTTATGCATGGTTATGTGCGATGTAACGGTTTGTCAGGAGGTTAAAAACCTGATCCAGCTCTCAGCCTGTCGTTAGGTTAGCTGAAAGTTAGACTGAGACAGCATTTCCAGCATGGAGACCGCCATCGATGGGAGTCCAGCGCCCCCTGCAGGAACAGACAGGTGACGTCACTCAGGCTGCATCCATCAATATTTAAAGTCTAGGGTTGTACAGAGTCCCCACTTGACTAAATGACGTATCGGAGTATATAAACGTCACTCCCCCCTCCTATTGACTCGAGGTGAATTCTCCGGAAAATATCCTGTTGTGTTCTCACATCAGCTCACTCGGCCTTGCTGCGGAAAAAGTACTAGGGGTCTGGCAGGAGAAACTCCCGGTGAAGTCCGAGCTAAACATTCAGCTGTTTGCGTTCACACATGCAGCTCCTCCTGTAAATATCAGGATTTTTTCAGGAGATTTCAGAAAGTGTGAAAGCCCTAGTGGTGTGCAGCTGAGATTAAAAGAGGATTCAGCTACAGTGACCGGCTACAGCAATGAAACATAGTGTCTGTGTTATTGGTCCCTCATGTGGTGCCTGGTGAACAGACAGGTCACCTGCACCTGTCAGGACCATCAGATCAGAGATGTTGATAGAGTCACAATTGTCATTTGATTTCTCATTGTAAAAAAAAAAACGAGGGTGCAGAAATTTTAAATGAGAAGCCGACCTGCATGTGAGGGGAATTCTTTTCATTATTATTATTATTATTATTATTATTTGCTAACGAGGAAATTCTGGATTTTATTGACCCAAATGTTAAAAATGACAGCAGTTAACCAAAAGACACTTTGGCTTTCATATCTGCTGAACAAACATGTGTGAGGACCTTCACCCACAGTGAGACCGCAGACGAAGTCCAGAGAGGAGAAAATGCTGGAGCAAAGGTGAAGGCCGGGGTCAGAGGTGAGATTGTGTAACCGCTCTTCATATTACACCTACTCACATTTTTATTAGACAGTTTACTGCTTCTTTTTAATGTCGGATTTCTATCCATATTCCTGCTTGTTGCTATAGGCCATCATTATGAATAAAAACATAAAGACAGAGACTCACATTTCAACGCACCAACTGCCGACATTTGAATATTTGTCTATTTATTTCTGACATGCAACAAATTACAAAAGGGTGATCACTCAAACACACAGAAAATAAGTAATAATTACTGTATTGTAGTGGAAAGTAATGCAGAAGAAACTGTCAGACATGACAGGATACATTTGATCAACATGTCCAAGAAGGAGTGGGAGGAAGTAAAAATGTATTAAATCACACCCCTTCTTCATTAATACTTCACCATCTAATAAGCTTCACATTTATTAATATATATACTGACGTGGATTCCCCTTGTTGTTGATGATATGTTTGATGATGAAGAAATTCGCCGTTGACACTGACTTGCTTTCAAAAAATATTATTTATTAACAAGATACAGCATCTCCAGGCTCGCCATGGTTCGACCTGGGAGAGACACGAAGCCAAAAGTGATCTCTCTCGAACCCACAGAAACTCTGGTATTTATGGACACACCCCACAGGAGAACAACATATGGACATCTGTTTTTTCAGGACAACATCTCTCCATGCAGCTGCGGGGGTTTCTGTCTTAGGTGTATGTATGTCATAAACTCAACGGACAACATGTCCCAGATACAATCACTTGTTTAGATGTGGTCTCCACACCCTTAAGGAGTTAACCTATGTCTCAGGAATTTCAGACATTTCAGACACTTCAATACAAATTGGCTTGGGGTCTGGTGTGGAAAAATAACGACAAAAAAATAATCCATTCTCTCTGCAATAATCACCTTGAACAGCTGTTGCTTTTAACAGTCCCCCTTTTAATGTCTGTACTGTAATATTTGTAAACCCCCGAGATGAAACAGGCGGACAACGACGTAGCAATGTATATGCTTTTAATCCAGAGAGCTGCCGGTTACCTTCACAAACAGTGACTAACTAACCATGACTGCTCTATATAAATGTGACGCCCATAGATGGCGTTGTTGCTTCACTTACAGCTGTCATCAACATTACATGTACTTTGTGATGTGTTTTTATTGTAAGTTGTGTTCATTTTATGAGCCTTGTCAAATGGGATTTTTGTCACTGTCGGGCAAGACAAAGTTTATCTATTTATGTTTAATACTGGACACAGTAAAATGACATGAACAAATTAATAAATAAAAGTGAAAATTCTAAATAAAATGTATAAGTGATCACGTCACCAATAACACTCTCAATGTAACTCAGTGTTATGAAAGAGAAACGCTTATTTACACTGAGTCCAGACTTGTCCCGAACACTCAAGCCCCATCCACACTGAACCTCAAGCTATCATTGGCCAGCTGCTCGCCATCATCCGTGGCCCAATCAGATCGCTCTCCTGCGGGGCGGTGAGCTCTCACGGCCAATCAGAATTCGGCGTCGAACCCTGTTGGACCCGCCCCCCGCCGTGTGAACTGGTTTGAATGAGTTAGGCTGATAAAAACTGAGCCGTCATGTGTCGGTCCCTCCCTCTTCCCTTCTGTCCGTCGGCTAGGCAGCTGCAGAACTCAACGTCCCCGGAACAAAACACAAGAAAACAACCATGTCTGAGAAACTTAACTTCAAAGTCGGTCAGTGTCAACACATTTCATATTAACCGAGCTCTGAAGAGAGGTTGCGTAGCGACCGTCGCGCTTTGATAGCTAAATAGCTTGTAGCTAAGTTTATTGTTACATGCAGTGTTGGGTAAAAGCTAACCATACAGCATTTAGATAAGTGTTAAACACACGTTTGAAAATAACTTTTATGCTTTAAAGTCTGTTTCTTTACTACGTTACTGTTCAGGGAAAGTTGCTAGCTTAGCATATTGGTAAATTTCATGCAGCTGTTTTTGGTAAAATGCATCTTTTGTTATTCTCATCAGTGTTTGTAAGCTGTTGGGCTAAAAAAAAAAAAAGTCAACTTCTCTACACTTATTGTTCGTAGTTTGCTCAAATCTGAGAATGAATCGACATGTATCACAGCCACACTAGCGCCGAGCAGAGCATGGACTTGTTCCCGAACAGAGATCGCATCCACAGCTTGTGGGTGTTGTAGTTCTTTTAGCGGCGCAGGAGGCAGTGTTTTCCGCGACATGGCCCGTGTTTGTAAACTACTACTCCCATGATGCAACGTACCTCGCAGCTAAGTTAGGCTTGAGTGACAGGAGCAGGCAGACAGATCTGCACTGTATGCAGCTTGAATAACGTAGTAATCCGGTGACTACACGTGGTGTCTGCCTGCGAGAGCTTTTACATCTAAATCATTTGATTTAAATGTTGTCTTAAGTTTATAAATAACAGAAAGGGATCAAGAAATCCAGGCGCACCTTTAAAACTTCAAAATGTTAAGACAAAACATATGCTACTTTACATTGGAAATGTTTAAATGCACTTTAAGTCATGAAATGCTTGCAGAATATCACTTTTTGGGGTACTTAACATGGGTGTAGCTGCAAATACAAAATATTGTTATGCTGTCACATGCTGCTCTGTGGTGCGGAGCTTCTGGTTTAAAGCAGAATAAGTTGCACATAACTTGTCCTCATAACAGATAACCCTCGGTCAAAGTCCACACACTCTCCATTCAGTTGTTTAGAGTTCAGGTCTGAGACCGCCTTGGTCAAGACCTTCCTGACATGTCCATTGATGCAATGTCACACGTTTTCTAAAGACTGTCAATTAAATCAAGTTCTTGTCTGTCAACACTGCTTAAGCTATTTAAATGTACATTTTCCTTTTATAGCTCATAAATTAATCTACAGAAAATTAAAATCTCATTCATTAACTTTATTGAATTTCTGAAAGGTTTGCAGATTTGTACCCCGACTAACTGAATCATGTATTTTGCGGACTAATTGATAATGGTAATGATTGTTAGCAGCAGTCCTCCTAACATTGACTTGAGGTATCTTTTCTTAACTCTGCCACAACCTTAGAGCCAACTGGCTATTTTCAGATGACAGTTCAAACTCGGGGGTCAGTCAGTCAATATTTTAGGGTCTCTGGTGGCACAAATTGGTGCTTTCTATAGAACTAATGAGGGAAATCTGAGCTATGTAAAACTTTCCCTCTGCTGCTTGTCAATGCTTAGCAATTTATGAAGCGGGAATTAAGTTAGAGTTGAGACTAAGTTCATGACCATACTGTTATCTGCTCTCGTATGAAGATATCTGGTTAGAGGTTAATAAAATACTAAACATGACTTATCAACACTACTCTACAAGAGGAGACCAAAACACTTCGGATGCATTCATATTAGGCCTCGTTGATAAGGGAAATACTCGATGATCCATAGCACTATTTATAAGTTTAAAAAAAACCAACCTTAATACGATAAATAAACAAAATGAACTATATAGATTTGTTTGATCTTAATCTGTCTCGGTTTGTTCATCAGCCTGATTATGTAACGTCTTGCTTGATTTTCATGAACCTTTTGTAAATCTTTGATGCTAAGCCAGAAATAAACCATTTTATTTTGGGCATTCTGGATTCAGATCACAAACTACAGATATTAGTGACCAAAATGGAAATATATTGCGTACACACATGCATACACAGATTGCTCTGGCAGATTTTAAAATCAAAAAACCCTGGACTTCTGGCCTTATCTAAAAAGTAAATTCAATTTGTTGAGATTTACTCACTGATATAGTCACTATTACTGACCTCTGTTTGAATGTCCTAATCCTCTCTGTGGCAGGTTCATTCAGCTCAGGGCTGGTTCAGAGCAGTTTATCCAGACTGACGCGTGTTTGCACAGGCTGCAGGTTCTGCAGTGTTAATGTTTGGGGATGATGGAGGTTAACCTGCTGCATTGGGGAGCATTCAACCCAGAACACAGAGCGCCTCTCCTCTTGTAAAATGGTGCTGTCTGTAGTTTCATATCTATAAGGAAGAGATGAGAAGAAAAGTGATATTAACACTGAAAAATTTGACATTTTCTTCAAATATACTGTCTCTGCTGGAAATTCACAGAGAATTATTCATTTATTCATTTGTTTTGAGATATACAAATTGTTTCTTTTGCACCAGTCACAAGCAACAACAATAGAAATTTCTAGTCTAGCCTGTTTTACACTTGCATGCTCTATAAGCAGAACTAATCCCTTTTATATCTATTCAGAATAAAGTCCTTTACAATATACTACAGCTAAAAAACCAACTACAGATGTTTAACAGAAGCTGTCTGGATATAAACAGTTACTCTGCAGACAGCTGTGATTGACTTTTCTCTTTTAAAGAAACAACATAATGAACTGTTTTTGTTTTATCTACATTTCTTAAATTGATTCATAGCTTAATTCTATTTGCAACGAAAGCAGAGGCCTAATTTTTCACATCAAGATTTCTGTAAATTGATGTCGTCATAACATTGGAATACTTGTGGTTTAATTCACGGTGATGATACGTATGCAGCAGGAGTTGCATCATATTGTTAAGGATTATGTACTAATTTAGCTGCAGGGAGTTCATGTAAAGACAGGTCAGATTGTTACAAAGTCACAGAAGTGGAGACTGTTATGGATCGAGAAGCTCTGCAGGAAGACGTTTGTCATTCATATTTTCTTTAACATCCTGCTATCTCTGCTGCTTTCTTTCTCTCATAGCTGACATCAGCCTGGCCGAATGGGGACGCAAGGCCATCGATATCGCTGAGAACGAGATGCCCGGTCTGATGAAGATGAGGGAGATGTATGGTCAGTCTAAGCCCCTGAAGGGCGCCCGTATCGCCGGCTGCCTCCACATGACCCTGCAGACCGCCGTGCTCATCGAGACCTCACCGCCCTCGGAGCTGAGGTGACCTTTACCATCAGCTTGTTAATATTTAGTTTACAGGAGAGCTATTGCTGATCATTTATGGCTTTTAGAATAAAAAGAAAACACCAGAATGTCATTTAATTTTCCAACTGCAACCACCGGAGGAGTGTTGGTTAAAGATTTTAACATGCAGTTTTTTTGCTGAATCTGATAAAATGATGCAGAGCCTCACATACTTTATGAGATGTACTAGAAGCTGGTTTAATGACATGATTTACACTCATAAAATATCAAAGGGCCACCAGAAGCACTTACCACATTTCGTAAAATACACTCTACAAATGCACAAAACAAAAACTGAACTTCATTTTTTCAAACGGACTGCTCATCATACTCCGTCTCACACAGCTGTGAGAGTTGACTCAAGTCCAATAACATCTTTGGGTTATACATTTTCAAGTCTGGTTAATCTTTTTTAAGAGACAAAACAACAGCTGACTTATTTGTCTGAATTAGTCTGTATCTTCTTTGGTTTCATATGTAGCATCTGCGTTTGTGCAGTAAGTAAAGTAAACGCGTCGTTACTAAAAATGCTACAGTACTCTTGACATGCTGCTCTGGTGATGGTATCTGTACTACAAATGCTTCCTTTAGGGCCTAAAATAAGTGATCAGGTTCCTGCTACTGTAGTCTATACACTCAGTATGTTATCATGAACAGTTAAGTAGAGCTTCGGTTACAGCTCGATGAGGCCTTTTTATTGGAAAATACTGTCCCAGTATGTGCACACACTGGAATCCGATTCAGAATCAGTGTCTGTAAGGAAAGAAAGGTATTAAGCATTCATTACCTCTGAACTGATAAGTAGTTATTCTTGATTGTGTCTAGACGGAGACCTTTGTCTTGTCATGTGTTTCACAGTCTTACTTCTGTTTTCTTCATCTTCTGCTTTACTTAACCGTCCTACAGCAGTTCTTTCCGAGACAGACAAGGTTATGTTTCTGTTTATTAGAACAAACTGTGCCCAGGATTTTCCCTCTCCCTCTGTCTGCCTCAAGGCCGTGTGTTGTGTTATCATGCAGGTTTTTATCTGTCTGACCAAGACCGGCTTACTCCTGCAGAGACCTGAACCCGGAGAATAAATACCCGGTTTCTCTGCCTGGGAAATGTTTTACTGTGATACTTTCAGTACTCCAGTAGGAGATTGAATGCATGAATGCTCCTTCACTTGTGTCTTGTAGAGGATCCATAAGTCTGGCATCAGATGCTGGGTCCTGTTAGAATGAAGTGAAAATGATGATTAAAGTACATTCAACTCATCTATTTGGGTAACTCCATGTATTTTTATTATATCAGAAAAGATATTGCAATGCTTTTTTCCTCCAACATTGTTCAGCCTTACTTCATAATCGACTTCATGCCCCTTGAGGTGTCGCAGCCAAGCTGTCAGTGTTGCAGCAGTGTCATGAGGTGGCAGAGACGAGGGGAGAGAGGAGCACACATGGAGGACTCAGAGTCATAAGTTCCACCTAGAGTTAATCACAACTATCAGCACTCATCCAAAGAGCAAAAAGAGACATGAACGATGACACAACTTAGCTTAAGGTTAGTCTTTCGCGGGATGTTTGGAGACAACAGGGTCACTGCTGAAGTTTGAGGCGACGAGACAAAAACCAACAGAAGTTGACTTTCAACCTGATTCTCTGAAGGCGCCAGTTTGGCATCATTAAGACCCATTTATGTTTGTCTATGTTGATAAAAAAATATTTTTGTTAAAGTGAAATGATGAAAGCAAATTTAGATGCTCAACATGTCTCGATGTTCTCTCTCGCTCTCCTCAGGTTCAGTGGTCCAGCTGCAACATCTTCTCCACTCAGGACCACGCTGCTGCCGCCATCGCCAAGTCTGGTGTTCCAGGTAACGCACGATAACTCTGTGTACACTGGCCCAATCTCAGCCTCCACCCTAAAGCCTAAGCGCTGAACCCTCAGGGACTTCAATGGCATTAGGTCTGCAGTGTGAGATGGTACTGATGGTAATAGCACATGTTAAACTGCCTCAAGCATACATTGTCATGTAGCAGCATGTGCATGCTCTGCCATTTTTTAGAAATATAAATTAGATGTTATTTTGCCCCTGAGGCGTTGCAGCGCAGCCGTCAGTGTTGCAGCTGTGTCAAAAGGTGGCAGAGAGAGAATGGTGGAGGTCTGCACTGAGACTCTAACACACATGGAGGACTCGGAGTCATACTTTCCACTGACAAACTAGATTCACTTATTTTAATTGAAGTATTTTCATGAGACCCTCAAAGAGAAATTTACTACTTTTTATTTCCTATCGCTCTGTAGTGTATGCATGGAAAGGTGAGACTGATGAGGAGTACGTGTGGTGCATCGAGCAGACTCTGTACTTCAAAGACAAACAGCCCCTCAACATGATCCTGGACGACGGAGGAGACCTCACCAACCTGGTCCACCAGAAGTACCCCAAACTGCTGGCAGGTGGGTTTTAATTTCACCAGGTGCTGATGGTCGACAGTCGGTGGAGCTCACTGTTTAATCACTGACATGATGCTGGAGGTTTTTCAATGCTTTGCCCGGAGCAGTTTGTTGTTGAAAAGAAGCTGCTAATAAATTTACACAAAGTGTTTGGTAAATTTAACCTTAAAGTCAGCTCAGCTTGGTTTCTAAATCATCAACAATTTGATGAGGCAGCTTCAGGAAACAAGCCGAGCCACACATTTTCAACATTCAGGTCACATTTTTGGCCACTAGATGGCAGCGGAGGTCTCACAGACTGAGCTATACTGCACCTGCTAGTCTGTTGTCAACTTCTAGTATTGCAGACATTTATGAAAGGAAATGGATTCAAATATTGCATTACTTGAAATTTTTTTCTAGGAATATTTTGATGGATTTTTTTCCCCTTGAGGCCTTGCAACCCCAGCATCAGTGTTGCAGCTGTGTCATAAGGTGGCAGAGAGAGCGGTGGAGGTCTGCACTTAGACTCTAACACACATGGAGAACTCTGAGTCATATTTACAGGGTCAAATTTATACGTTAAAACTACGGTAACTTGTATGGTTGGTGAAGTACAAAAATTCCTACCATCTCGTCCTTCACATGGACAAATATTAAACTCTACGTCATGACAGACATTATTCTCTATGTGAGAATGTGCTCCTCAAATTTTAATTCTTGTATCTTCCAGGTATCCGTGGAGTGTCAGAGGAGACCACCACAGGCGTCCACAACCTGTACAAGATGTTTAAGAAAGGCGAGCTGAAAATGCCTGCCATCAACGTCAACGACTCCGTCACAAAGGTAAAACACCTTTACCTTTCTAAAAGTCACCTTTGAGGGGGGGGGGGGAACTGTAGATGAAGGTGGACAGAATACTACTTTTTATTTTTTTTATTTTTTTTTTATGAACACAGACTGTTCCAGTTTTTAATGATATGAATTTATGTTCTAGTTAACTAACTGTAAGCGAACTTCCTGTTGACCTTTTATGACATCATCTCCGTCCTTGTCATTGAGTGCTCAAAGTACAATAATTATTCTTTGACATTGAACAGCTGTGAGCTACTAACTTTTGGAAATTCATGTACCGGTAAATCTTAGGAATCTTGACACTCGGCTATCGTTCTGAAATCTTGTGTCTCACTCTGTGCAGAAACGTAGAATTTGTATTAATCTGTCTTCTTCTCTCTGCTTGGTGCAGAGCAAGTTCGACAACCTGTACGGCTGCAGGGAGAGTCTGATTGACGGCATCAAGCGAGCCACCGACGTGATGATCGCCGGTAAAGTCGCCGTGGTTGCTGGATACGGTGATGTGGGCAAAGGCTGCGTTCAGGCTCTGCGTGGGTTCGGAGCTCGCGTCATCGTCACAGAGATCGACCCCATCAACGCCCTGCAGGCCGCCATGGAGGGTAGGTATCCCTGACCCAAACGAGGGATTATTAAGATCATGATCAAGAGCTTTTAACATCGTTGAGAAAGACCACGGGTGGCAGAGCGTAGGACTCGGGTACATTGTTTTATAATCTGAAAAGAGAACAAAAGTGTCACAATTTTTATCGACTGAGCTTTTAATTTGGAGTTTGACGAGAGAACATGCAAGACAATCTTTTGTTTCTTTCAACTCTGCTTACCTGCACAAGTTCGAAGGGAAGAGGAAACAGTAAATGAAGGAAACAGTTCAACTTTCCTGCAGCTGCATTTTCAAATAGAGACTAGGCGATGCTCCTTGGATATTTTTCTCCCTTATCACCACGTGAATGCGCAAATCTGAAGTGGACAGAAACAGATGAATGAAAACACAACAAATCTTAGACTTAATTTTAGGAAAAAGCATTGTCACCAACTGCTGAAAATGACAAAGAAATAACAGAATCAACACAACTGGAAAATGCTAATCCCTTGAGTTAAACATATAGGTTCAAAGTTTCTTCACTACCCAAAATGCTCAATTTGTTTTGCAGACAGAAGATTCAGCGTTCGACAAAAACCTTCAACTTTCTAGATTTGATGTCTTGTAACTGTTGAATTAGTTTAAGCTCCTCTTTCACTGCAAAGGAGGGGTGTAACGTACACAAAAAGTTCGGTGCGGTTCTTAGTTTTGAAGCTTCGGTTCGGTACAGTTTTCTTTAACATATAACATTTAGAATTTCCCTTTTACACATTGGGCTGAGTGTAGCATTGACACTTCAGCAGACCTGTACACCTGCTCAGGTTACTTTTTAATAACATATTTAACATTTTAAATTAAACATTGTAAAAAAAAATCATAAAATGAACTTATGCTGCTTCCTTCAACCAAAAGAGTCTCCAATAAATAAAATACATGAATGACATTAAGCATTTTAGAATGAAATGAAGTAATTAATATATGTAAAAATATGTATTTTTAATTACAGTGACACCTTTTAGTTTATTAAGCCAACAGTTTTTTGAATGCCCTTTGCGCACATAATAAACCTAATCACATCTGGGACAATGTAGTTTCATTGCAGAACTATTAATATTTCCCTCTGTCGATATAAGAACTTCAATGGCATATGTTATGGTTTTGGCCCGTTCAGAATTATTAGCAAAAGGCTGTCTGTTTTTTCCTTGTTGCACTGATGTTTACGTTCGCGTGGCGCTTTTCAAGTGCTTTAATGTTGGATGTGTTGCCTGCGACGTACCCGATGTCCGCTGAACAACGACGGCACACTACTCTCGTCTTTTTGTCCATTATTGTGTGAATGGGGAGGGAGGGTGTTCATTCTATCACGCAGCGCTGGAGCGGGATCATGCTGAAAATGTAAACGAAACTTAAGAGTAAGTCCGTAAAAAGAACTCCATCCCGGTTATATGTAACTGTCCAAACCGACAGGACTCGAGGAACTAGTAATCTGCACAGTTTATGTTTGAACTTTTTTTTTATTTTTTATAAGTTACTATGTAAAAGCTGTCTCACACCAGCGGCTGCAGCCTTCCTCCTCCCTGAGGTGTGCTTCCGCTATGCGGCCCGTGTGGGAACACAGATTAAAGCACTTTTGTTCCGCGCATACTTGGATCTGTCCGTGTTCGGACTGGAATGAAGGCCCTGTACCGAAACGGTCCTGTCCGAGTACGTGTACCTTTACACCCCTACTGCAAACTGTTAAACAAAAACTAAACTAGTTTCTAGCTGATCTTGCATGAATGAAAAAAAAACTGATTTAAAAGAGTCATTGTCTCAGAAACAATTTAAAGGAAAAATTAAAGTGGGAGAAGAACTTTGAGGCTCATGACGCGTCCGCTCAAAATCAAGCCTGAGAGCCGATGAGATTTGACCAAACGTGTGATTGAAGTTATAAGGGTTATCTGCATAATTGTGGCTAAATTGTCCAAGATTTTGAGACATGATTTGTTGACTCTTATTTTTTAACCCTGTCTGTCTCTCTGTGTCTGCAGGTTATGAGGTCACAACCATGGACGAGGCTTCCAAGGAAGGAAACATCTTCGTCACCACCACCGGTTGCGAGGACATCATCCTGGGACAGTGAGTTTAACAAATATTTAAAGTTCCACTAGAATGTAAATTAAGAGGGTGGAAGTATTTTTTATGTGAATACTTTGTAAAAATGTGCCTGCACAACAACGACATGTTATTTATTTACTCTCAGTCACTTTGAGAACATGAAGGACGACGCCATCGTCTGTAACATCGGACACTTTGACTGTGAAATCGACATGAACTGGCTGACCAAGAATGCCGCCGAAAAAATCAACATCAAACCTCAGGTGGGAAAATAAAACCAAATAGAAATAATTCAATTTATACAGCCGAGATATTTTGTCTGCCTCAGGCTCGTTTTCAGTTTGGGACCTTGTTCTCTGAAGTTTTCCCTTTCTTTATTCCTTCTCGGCAGGTCGATCGCTTTTTGTTGAAGAACGGTCGTCACATCATCGTCCTGGCTGAAGGCAGACTGGTGAACCTCGGCTGTGCCATGGGACATCCCTCCTTCGTCATGAGCAACTCCTTCACCAACCAGGTACCGTGAATGTCTGTGAGCCAGAGAAAATAAATGATTCTAGTCAGAAGAGAGAGGATGTAAATTAAAGCCCCGTTTCCACCAAGCGGTCCCGTTTAGTTCAGTACAACACGATACACATGTATTGGCTTTTTCACTGACAAAAGTTTGGGAATGGTGCCAAAAATAACAGATCTGTACCGTTGTGCATTTTTGATCCCCTTCTGTCGGGCTGCTAAGCATACCGATCTGTACCTCAGGGCTTCAGCTGGACACACTGCAGACCCTTTATTGGTCGAAAGAGTCACACAAGGACAAACCCAAAATGCGAGTAATTTCTAGACTTTTTTTGTTTTTGAGATTAATGTCAGTGCGTAGCAACAACCCATGGATGAGGTGAAGACCTCTGTTAGACGTCCTCCATTGTTGCCCTTTGTTTTCTGTGTCACGATCTTCTTTCCTGGATTTATTGGCAAGCTGCACTGTGTCACGCTGCTATCGTCATCCGGCTAACACCTCTCCTACAAACTAAGGGTACGGTTGGCTGTGGAAATGTTAAAAAGATCAGGGTTTACTGTACCAGACTGTACTGAACCAAACCAGACCACTTGGTAGAAACGGAGGATTTACAGGTGTTCATATATGAACAGAATAACTTCAGAGCTTCTTCCAGTTTGCTTTATTCAACAGTTTCTGTAAAACCTTCATGGTCTTCTCTTCTCTGCAGGTTCTGGCTCAGATCGAGTTGTGGAAAAACACAGAAAAATACCCCATCGGAGTCCACTTCCTGCCCAAGAAGGTGAGAAACCTCAGTATGATAAAGTGTTTACTACAGTTCTGGGGCTGTTACGATGTCCCAACTCAGAAACTGGGACAATCCGAGGAGCATATGCACCTCGTCAGGTGATCAGTAGCTTTACCTGGGCAGAGCTGGAGTGGACAGACGAGCGGAGAAAAGACACAACAGCACAGAGAAACATAACAAGTACTGAACTCAATACTGGAAGTCCAACACTCCAGATGACATATTTTAGAGGTTTTTCTTAAGGATAGAGGGCTGAATGTACCGGCTTAACCACAGAATCTAATATCAGAGGAGAAAGGGTTCAGGAGGAGGGCAGGGATTTTAAACTTCTCGTACTCGAGCTAAGATGCAAAACAAAAACAGTGAGAGCGAGCTGCTGGTGACCGTGACGGACCCAACGTTTGTTTTGAACTTGGAAAGCTTAAAAAGACAGCAGACTTAAAAATCGGAGAGATTATGTGAAGCTTTGAAGAGCGGGGTTACTCTCACAGAGGAGCAGAGCATCTTTTTTTTATATCCTCTGTGAGTCCCTCTTTCCTTCTATGGCCTGAACGTACTGTCACGTATTGAAACTGGGAAGTTTTGAAGAGAACTCGGCCGATTGTGCGGCTTTTGCCCCCGCTAAACCCGTGCGCGAGTCTAAAAGACACAAAACCGCTTGAACCGCTTCTCTTTATTTAGGAGAGGCGATGAAGAGTGTTTGGATTTAGTGCTTTTAATTGGAGAGCGGAAAAAAAACAATCAAAGCATGTAACTGAACATCACAAGAGATTTAAGAACACGATGTAACGGAGGGGAAACAGTTATTGAAATGTGTTCATTGCTGTCGCAGTCCTGATGATGTGCATAAAGAAGTTAAAGTGGTTGGCAGGTGAGACAGCCGTTTGTTTTTTTTCTCACCTCTAACACAAAACTCTTCCTTCTCTCTTTCCATTCTTCGTCTCAACAGTTGGATGAGCAGGTAGCAGCCGCTCACCTGGAGAAACTCGGGGTGAAGCTCACCAAACTGTCAGACAAGCAGGCCAAGTATCTGGGTCTGCCCACCGAAGGGCCCTTCAAACCGGACCACTATCGCTACTGAGCGCCCCCGCCCACCTGAGGAAGAGGAAGAGGAGGAGGAGGAGGAGAAGAAGAGAGAAGGTGTGGATCAGAGGGTGTTGGTGTTTTGGGGAGTTTAGCTTGCTTTGTTACCAAATGTTGTAATTTCAGGGATACAGAGAAATGATTGTGGACTTTTTACAAGCTTTCTGTGGAGAAGATTCTAAAAACGTGTTTTACAAATTAAAATCCGACACCTTGTTCTGCTTAACTAACCTGAGATCAAACAGAAATCTGCCACACAGCTGGAGCAGGCCATAAAAACCACTTCTGACCCATAGCTTCCGTTTTATAGCAGCTTTTTTTTTTTTTGGGGTGTTGTGGATTTTCAGGAAGCTGCAAAAGAGTTGTTAAAGGTTCAGAAACAAACTTCTGTGTATTATCCAACCCTGAAGCTCCTCGTAGGTCAAGTCGCATCCCTCCAACATCAATATCTTCAGTTCACCACCTTCTCTCCTCTTTCTTTCTCGTCCTCTGGAACACCATCAAGTGCTACCGCGGCTGTATTTTTTTAAAAAGAGAGTTTCTCTTGTCGTCTGTCATTCCCTCTGCAGTTTATGGAATCAAATAAAACCCTCATGATGTTTTTCTATCTCTGAGCTCATCTATCGCGAATGAATCAGTACGTCGATGAATCGAGGCCAACGGTTAAGTGTTGAGCAGCCTTATTCCAGTGTCTCCGTTAGCACTTAAACTAAACTGTACTTGAACTGTGCGAGAAAACGCTCAACGCGCTGCCAAAAAGAAACCAAAGCACATCATGTTTCTGCCTGAATTACAAAAAGTCTTACCCTTTCTGTTGAAGCATTTTCTTTCTTTTTTTTTCTGTGATTATTTCATTTGACTTAAAAGGGCCAAAATATGTGCAACGCCCCATTTCTCTCTCTCTCCCCCCCCCCCCCATCTACCCCCCAAAAGTTCCTTTAACCTCTCCCTGCAGCCAATCAGGGCGCAGTACGAGAGGTGGAGACGGTTCTCGACGGTTTCAGAGTTCAGCTGTTTGTGAAACGATGGATAAATGTTGAAACTGACAAAAATAAAATAATGAAAAACATGTTGAGTCTGGGTGGTTTCTGCTCATTTTGTCTTGTGGTAAAATAAGTTAGCTCTGGCTCTCACTTTTTATCAAGTAGCCTATAACATCTTTGTACTCATGAACACAACCTTTGTGAGCAGGAAACATGGAGACACACAAGTTGGAGACTAAAGGCATTTGCACACAGTCCATAAAGAACTTGGAAGGGGCCTGGTAATGCATTAATTGATCTGACAAACGAATAAAAATCGCACACTGACGTTGCTTCATGCCACATTATTTGCCCATGTGCGGCTACATCAGTCGACCCTGATGTTAAACCGATGCAGCGGTGCGTCCTTAAGACGAAAATATATTTATTATGGTGCATCATCAAGCGATGTTTTTTAAAGGATTCTTGTGTGTTTTTAATGATACATTTTATTCTGGGCAGCACAGCAGAACAAATTCTCTCAGGTCTAAAAGCATCCAGTGATGAGTGATTGCCTGTGAACCTGCTGAAACGTCCTTGAATGTGTGCAGACAGTTTACTATGGGCACTACTATGGAAACATTTCAGGTTATTCAAACACTGATTGACTCTCAGAAAAACGGCCTAGACGGAAATAAAAGCAGGAGGACTAATGGCTAAAGCAACAAAGGTAAAGATCCAGTTCTGTTAGAAAAATATTTTTGAAAGAAATCTAAGAAAGGGCCTTTGTTGGATCAGAGCGTGGAGCCTGTAGAGATACTGTAAGCTACTTTAGTAGAGGAAGCTGCTGTGTGGATTTAAAATCCAAACAGGCCAGAGATCCCCACCAGATGAACACTGAGATGAGATCAATTCCTTCACAAGTCCTTCACAAGTCCTCCAGGCGTCGGTCAGAGCTTCTACTTTATCATAAAAATCGAGTTAGCTGACTAAACACAGACCAGATGTGAGAGCAGCCGATCTCACACTGATGTAATCCTTTATTCAGAGCCGCTCTCAAAAGTCCGCTGATTGCATCAAAACTCTGAGAGGACGTCTTAAAACCTGATTAAGATAAGGCGACACTTCTCAGAGGAACAAAGGAATGAAGCTCAGCCTGTACGATCCAACATAACTCGAATGTAAAGACTAGAAACAGATACATTAAATCTCTTGTGCACATGCCATAGACTGAAAGCATTAAGTAGCTCAGTCTGTAGGGACTTGGGGCTGGGGGTCGCTGGTTCAAGTCCTGGTGCGGACCAAAATATGGAAGTTGATCTGGTAGCTGGAGAGCACTTCCCGAGTACTGCGTGCCCCTTAAGCAAGACACTGAATCCCCAACAGCTCTTGTTTGCTCCCTGTGTAGCAGACTCACTCTGACATCTCTCCTCTGATACAGGTCCACACGTCCTGTTTGTGCATGTTTGTGATTCAGGCCTATGTGTGTGAGTAGTATGTTGTTCAATAACACAGTGTAAACCAGACTTTCCCCTCAGGGTTTAATGAAGTATTTCAAAATGTAGAAAAATGAAGCCAGAGTGATGTCAGCCGTCTGTTCCTGCGGGGGGCTTTGGAGACCCATCAATGGCCGTCTCCATGCTGGAAATCCTCTCTCAGCCTAACTTCCAGTTTTAAAATCTTCATTAAATGCTCAAACACTCTTTTTCCTTCTGTTTCATTACTCTCTTTGACCAGCAGATGGCGGTGCATAGTTCCTAATGTCAGTGTGCAGCTGGGGTTAGACCTCTACGCTTCCTCTCTGTCTCTGTTACATACCCATTTAAAGATGTTTATTTTTTACATTTTAATTCCACCTTAATTAAGAGAAGAGTCTCTTACTGATAAAAAAAAAAAATCTCTTTTTAAAGGGTGTCCAGTACAGACGTTTAGATTCTGGTCCTGAATGCTCTGGATTTGTTTGGACCAGAGAAGGCAGGCGGTTTTAAGGCATTCCCACACGGCCGTTTTGGACGCCCCTCGGTTTGCCAGATATGAGAGCAGTTATCAGGTCAAACCAACAGGTGTTGCAGCGATGGAAGCGGGCAAGTGAACTAGTTCAGATAGAAGTGATTGTACCCGACCTAAAAAGCCTCTGCATGATTCTAATAAGCTCCACGAGCAGAAACGTGCTCAAACTAGGATCAATATTGGAGATGCTTTTGGTGCCTACGGATTGTGTCTCGTACCCACATCCTCCTCGCTGATCGGGAATACTCAAATATAAAACATTCAGTAACAAGTTTAAATTTCCTGATCAGAGACGGAGCAAAGTGGATGTGGGTATGAGACACGATCTGAAGGCAGCAAAACTACAGGGAATATCAAACATTTGGAAAAGAGCGCCGGTGACTTCAACAGCGCCTTTCTGAAAAGTTGCAAGATTTTCAACTTGAGCACTCGGAAGAAAAGACGCTGGACGCTGCGCTTTTTCTCCAGGCGGCCGCTTTCTGCTGAGAACGCTGTCTCATCGAAAAAAGAAGCTGGTGATCAGAAAAAAATGCTAGATAGACACGGGGCCTAACGGAGCAGTGTCGGTCATCAGCAGACTGTTGTCATGGCGACAGGACACACATGCAGCGCTTTTCTTCTCAGGGCAGAAACGCTAGGTGGGCACGGGGCCTTTAGGCACCCAAGATTAATCAAAATAATCCAAAACGATCCTCTGAAAATTGAAAACAAATGCGGCTGTAGTAAAAGAACAATGCAGTGACGGCACTGAAGACCCAGCCGCTGCTCATCTTTATGGGAACCTGAGCCCATCATTGCAATAAATATCTTAAACGACACAAACGTGAGTTGTCTGACTGAAATGCTTTCCACAACGGGAAACTGTCATGATGAGGTCCTTTATTCTGGAAAAGCTGGAAAAGTTGATGTTATATATCATGTTTTGTTGAGTACCCTGCATGGACCCCGGTGTGAACTGTCTCTAATGCTATTTTTTCATGAATCCAAAATCAGTCCTGAGCTGCATCATGAAACATTAAAACCAGCACAGACTTCTGCTATCCAACTTCCAAAAAATTACCACCACGTAACTCAAACAAGGTGGGCAGCGTGCAGCCTGATATCCGTGTCTAATTCTTGTAAAAACCTAAAGATGAATACACAAACTGATCGCTTAGTGATTAATGCAGCTTGACCATACATCCTCAGGTGACTGAACTGCTGCTTTGGAAGCTGTCCCATTGAACACAGTGTGGAGGAGGCGTGATTGTGTAAAAATAATGTGCCAGCACTTCAGAGAAGAACGCCAATGCAAGGTTAAATGGAGGAGAAAAACGTCTTTATAACTTGAAATGAGATAGCTGAAGTGCAGTCGGGTTCAGGCACCAAAAGTGGCGCCAAGTGGTCGGTTCCCATGCCCCATGTACAGAGACTTTGGTCCAACCTGTGGCTCTTTTCCCACTCTCTCTCTCTCCCCGATTTCTGACTCTATCCACCGTCCTATCTCTCAATGACTGACCACATATATGTATTGATTTAATTATTATATATTTTTTGTGTCTCAAATAGGACTCTGGTGTGCAGAGTCAAATACCTGTGTTGGGGCCTCAGGCCAGCCGGGGGGCCCTGAGGGCTGACAAACTTAAAACCACAGTTGTGCAAATGTGCAAAGTTTGCAATGACAGTGAGAGACCTCCCTAAGGGGTCCCATCTGACAGCACCCACTCTCATTGGGCTGCTAAATGTTTCATGCATCATTCCTGTGGGAACTCAAGTTTGTCAATGAAATTCACTGATCCGACTGAGAGTGTAAAAATAAAAGAAGTCATGCAGATCCTTGACATTCTCAATCAGAAATGTCTCTGAATTAGAGAAAATCACAGACTTGCTTATCCAGTTCAGATAAACAATGACGTTGGGGGTCATTTCCTCATTTCCTAATACTGGACGCCACAGAAAATCTGTCTTAAGCCCGAGATATTTGGAGGGTTTCAAGGATTGCTTTTTACATACTACATGTAATACTACATCCCCTTCTTAAGGGTTTGTTTTTCCACCGTGAATAAATTATCCTTGACTTTCCATTGGACCTGCTCCCTCTGTACCAGTACCTCGGCCATGTAATGATGGTTTAATGCTTTGATCATTGCGTTTTTTTTTCCTGCAAAACCCGAGAATTCCTTGGCCCCTGTAACAAAATCTGATTATTTAATTGAAACTGTTGCCATCCATGGATTTGCTTGCTGAAGCCAAGAACATATGTATCAAGATAAAGATAAAGATAAAGATAAACTTTATTGATCCCCCGTGGGGGAAATTTGTGAATTACCAGTGACAGGTTGAACTTTGGTGAAACATTTGAACGATGAGAAGACAAGACCGGCTTGTTTTTAGTGCATAGTTCAAAGTCAGCATCAGTGAGGAGTGCCGATAGGCTGGTGGTTAGGTTGCACGTCCCATGTACAGAGGCTGGGGTCCTCGTTGCAGCCCTTTGCTGCATGTCATCCCCTGCTCTCTCCTCCCAGCATTTCCTGTCTCTCTTCAGCTGTCCTATCCAATAAAGGCAACAAATAAAGTCAGCATCCGTGATGGTATGGCAGAGCTTTTGTGCTCATGGCTTGGGAAACCTACACATTTGTAAAGGCTCCATTAATGCTGAACCATAAATACAGGTATTGGAGCAACTTATGCGTCCACGTTTTTTCAGAGAAGGCCTCTCTTATGTCACCAAGATGATACCAAACCACATTCTGGATGTAATACAACAGCATGGGTCCGTTAGTGAAAGAGCCCCGGGTGATAAACTGGCCTTCTTGCAGTCATGATTGGCCACCCACTTAAAATATTTGGTGCATCATGAATGGTTAAATATGACAAAGGAGACTCTGAACTATTAAACAGCTGCACTGCTACATTAAGCAAGATTGACAGAAACTGGTTTCCTCATTTCCCAAAGTGTTGTTAAAGGAAAAGTGATGCAACAGAGTGGTAACCATGACCCTATCCCAAGGTTTTTTTTGAAACGCTGGCATCAAATTTGAAATAGCCACATAATAAAAAAAGAAGAAAGACTACATGCAAACAGAAAATGGGGTACATTCTGATGTACTGTAGATGTTGTTGGCCCACTCCAATGCCATTCATGTGTCTAAAGTTAGCATCACTATTACACAGAAAAGAAAGTCTTAGACTGGAGATCTGTAATTCAATAAAAGCTGCTGTTACTGGAAGAGGCTGAAATTTTGCCTTTGTCCTCAGAGTTTAAAGAGTACTAAGACGGTATCTAGTGGGTTTCAGGATTGCTCTCTTTCCTACGTCATGTCAACCTCTGTTGGACTGTTTTCTTGGTGCCAGTACCTCAACCTCGTAATGACGGTTTAGAAGTTTTTGATCATGTCGGGTTTTTCTGCAAAACCAGAAAATTCTTTGGTCACAGCAATAAAAGACTCTTGGCTCGATCAAAGTAGCATTTCCAAAGGCCCAGTTGTGGAACAAAAAACAGTTAATTTCATCAAAACTGCAGCAGTCCAATGAATCTTTGAAGCCAAGTACATCTGCACCAATGACGGGTTGAACTTTGTTAAATTCTGACCTGCAAGTCGTGCCAGTTGTTGAGCAACTTGAGCAAATTGTCCTCACGATTGACCTCTGAGGGAACAGAGCCTTTAACGTTTTACTTCACAATCTGGTTTGACTTCACATCAAGGTTACACAGACAAAAACATCTGATGGCTTGTTTAGCATGCTGCGCTACGGTCCAGAAACAACACTTGGTTGTTCTGCAGCGATGAATCCTATCATAAGTCATGATGGGTGGCTTGATTGGGTGCTGGCATGTTCATGAGCATGTAATTGTCGAGTCATGGTCATATCAACACTTTTGATGGGTATAAAGCCCCCTGGAGACTCATCTTTAGTCCAGGCCCTCTCTTACCTCCCAGGTTCTGCTTATGCAACCAGCAGATGTCCTGATCTTTGACCAGCGCCAACAGAGTAATTTTCCAGCAGCCGTACGATCGCTCTGGTGGGAAATCTTCTTCAAACAGGAAGTGAGGATTCTCAGCAGAGAACAGCAGACAAAAGTCAAAACGAGAAACAGAAAATAGATTCCAGAGTTTGAATGAAGAATTGTGTTTGACTCACATCAGAATGAATCAGTGACACTGAACGCTCTTAAGACAAAGATTTCAAACACAGTTTATGAATGACACAACACTTACATCCAAGCCAACCAGTGACGTCATGTGCTCCTGTAATAAATAATGAACAGATAAAGAGGAAATACACAGGATTTAAAGCCTCCGGCAACTTGACATGAAGTATTAAAAATCCACGTGATATTTAATGTTGTTTGACATATGTCACACAATTCACACCCACTCATTGTGATGTGACTTCTCTCCATGAAAGTCTCAATGGCGACCTCTGGTGGTAAGACAAGTCATAACCACTGTCCATCTGGAAATATCATTACAGTCAGGTGTGCCTGCAGCCGCTATTTAAGCCCCCAACTCAAACAAGATCTCTTCAGATCTCCATCCACTACCTCTGCGTTCCTCAACATGTAAGACATGTTGTTGTGTTATTGATCGACTGTTTTCTAAACCTGTTTTGAGTTGACTATTAAGTTAATAATGATAGTCATTGTTTATTTATAGTTTGGTGATTAGATTATATTACTAATTTGAAATATGTTTGTTACACAGAAATCATGGCTTTGGATGGAAAATAAATGCAACCTGTCCTCTCTTTAATTTGGGAGTCTTAGGCAATCAGCTCCTTTCTTAGAAACCTGAAAAGTTTTAATATGGTATGTATGTATTGCAATCGTCTGCTTATTTAAGAGCTTTGTCAAAATCATCATTTTTCATTTCATGTGCAATTAAAAAGGGGATTTACTATTTGGAATATAAACTTTGTGTGGTGATTGGACATGGTGATTTGTCCTTGTTTGGTGCTTGTGTTTTTGTTCTTTCAGAGGCTGGGTGTGGCTTATTGGTTGCTGGAGCTCTCTGCAATCACTCACCTATTCGTCATCTGATGACGAACAGGTGAGTGATTGCAGAGATAATCACCGGCTGCAGCATTTATACCCTGGTTCACCTCTCCCATGCTGCCAGATTATTTCTGCCTACACGGTGGTAGATCGGCGTCTCAGGATCAGTAAACTTTTTGTGCTTTGGATACCTGTCACTAATTATTCCCTTGTATTCTTTTTTTTCCCCAGTGCCTCCAACCACCGAGCTCCAGCGCCTCACCACCCAGCCTCTCATTCAAGCCTCACCAGCCTTCACCATCCTCACTTCAATAAATACCCCTTTACCCACCACCCTGTTTTCTGGTCTTGCTTTTGGGTCCACTTGAAAACCTTTAAGATCATAACACTTCGTGGAGTTTGTTTGAATGGGGGGGGTGCTTTGCATGGCTTCTGCCATGGCTCACCAAAAGAGGACTCCTACTAGAGCTGGTTGCCGGTCCAAGGTCTGCAATCAGCTGAACTCCAGAGATCCTCCTGTGATTAAATCAAAATTAAAATGTTGGGCCGCCATTCTAGGCGTTATGTGTGGAGGAAACAAGGCGCCGCTCATCACCTGCCCAATACCATCCCAACAGTGAGGCACAGTGGTGGCAGAATAATTCTTTGGGGGTATTTTTCAGCAGCAGGGACTGGGTGACTGGTCAGGGTTCAGGGACAGGAGCAAAATACAGAGATATCCTTTATGGAAACCTGGTCCAGACTGGGCAGAAGGTGCACCTTCCAACAGGACAATGACCTTTAGCTCACAGCCAAGACAACACAGGAGTGGCTTGGGGCCAACTTTGTGAATGTCCTTGAGTAGCCCAGCCAGAACCCTGACTTCAACCCAATCGAACATCTCTGGAGAGATCTGAAAGTGGCTGTCCACCGACGGTCCACATTTAACCTGACATAGTTTAAAGAATCTGCAGAGAAGGAAAGCAAAAAAAATCCCTAAATCCAGTTGTGCAAAACTTGTTGCATCATACCCAAGAAGACTTTATGCATATGTGCTTCAACTAAATACTGAGGAAAGGGTCTGAATACTTATGTCAGTGTGATAAAGTTTTTCTTTTTAATAAATTTGACAAAGTATTGAGTGTTGATTGATGAGGAAAAATAATAATTGAAATGCACTGTATACAACCTTTCCTTTAGGATAAAAAAAATCAAACATGTACTCTACCTACCCACCAAACATGGTGTGCATAGAGGACTCATCATTAACATGTACAAACTGAGATCGGTCTGATAAGTAGGATTCAAACCAACTTAAAGCAGTCCCTGTAATTCCAAGTAAATGTTCTAGTCTGTATAATAGGATCTGATGGTCAATGGTGTCAAAAGCAGCACTAAGATCTAACAAGACGAGCACAGAGAGAAGTCCCCTGTCTGAAGCTAGAAGTAGATCGTTTGTAACTTTAACTAGTGCAGTCTCAGTGCTATGGTGGACTCTAAATCCTGACTGAAACTCCTCAATTAAACTGTTGTCATGGAGAAAGTCACACAGCTGAATAGCTACCACTTTCTCCAGGATCTTCGAGATAAAAGGAAGGTTGGATATAGGCCTATAGTTAGAGTTCCTGAATCTAGAGTAGGCTTTTTAAGTAGAGGTTTGATTACCGCTACTTTAACGTTGCCGCTCGTTCACGCCGCTCGTTGCCGCTCGTTGCCTGCCAGTAAGCGTTCTCATGAACTGATTTTTTACCTTGTCTTGAGACCCCGTTTTGATCAACTAACTGAACACCTAATGCTTCCAACTGCTTAGCTTGGCTGGTTGAATGATTTTTGTAATCGGGCTGAAATAAACTGAATGTAGCCTACACCTGTGGTAGCCCCCCCGCTCATAAACGTCATACAAGAACTCTAACTTTTACAAAAACCATTGCTCCTACCCAGTGTTCTCATGTCCTGATCACTGAGTGTTTTTTGTTTTGACCAAAGGCGACCACCGCGGACAAATCAGCGTTCTTTTTGTCTTCTTTTGACACAAGTTACACTTTGAACATACTAGTGACAATCAAACGGTAGCCTATGGCTGCTAGCACCGGCTAATTGTTTTTAGCATCGGATCCAACTTGCTAGCAGGGCTGCTAACATCTCCCCTCCTGACAACATGAAGACTGTTTGTTGTGAAGGCTGCCTGACACTCTCACGCACTAGAGGAGAGGTTACCAACCTTAAAGAGAATATCCGCGGGCTTTCCGAGGAGCTTCAGAAGAAGGACCTGATGCTTTCCAGCTACATCGACTTGGCAGCTCAGTCTCAGTCTGCTTTAAAAAAACTTCTAAACATCTAAATTGCCTCGTAAACTTCACAGATGCCCTACAATAAAAACCCATGACCCATTTAATATCTGGATTTACCTCACATGCCTTTAACACTTAAGCCTCACATTCTGCCTTAATCACAGCGGATTGAAGGGTTTTAGATATTAAACTCAGGGGTTCTGTTTCTGTGTAAACTATTAAAAGTCACAAAAATAACCCGAAGCCCTGCGAAGGCAGATTTGTTCTGTTTTGATTTGAGATATTGTAGGATTAATCAATCAATCAATCAATCAATCAATTTTTATTTGTATAGCGTCAACTCATAACAAGTGTTATCTCAAGACACTTTACAAAAAGCAGGTAAAATACCTTACTCTTTGTCTGTTAACATTACAAAAGAGCAGGTAAAAAGACCTTACTCATTGTTATGTTACAAAAAGCAGGTAAAAGACCTTACTTATTGCTATGTTACAAAGATCCGGCCTATCCATCATGAGCACTTTTAGCAAAGCAGCAAAAGTTACAGTGGTAAGAAAAAACTGTCTTATTAAAAGGCAGAAATCTTCAGCCGGATCCCCGGCTCATGACAGAACAGCCTTCACAGGCCTAGACTGCGCCAGGTTTGGAAAGGGATACCCTTAACCCACCACCATCACTCGCCTTATCATTCATGTGGGCACAAACGACACCTCTCGACAACAGTCTGAACTGACCAAAGAGCACTTCAACCAACTTTTTAATCTCTTAATACAAACGGGTAAATCCATTTTCATCTCTGGACCCACTGTGCCTCTGTTCAACGCCGCTCGTTTCAGCAGAACCCTCTACCTCCACCACTGGCTGCAGTCCACCTGCAGGGCTCTTGTGTGGCCTTCATTGACAATTTTAATCTGCTCTGGAACCGCTACTCTCTTTTTAAAGCTGACGGACTTCACCCAAACAAAGCCAGCTCACACCTCCTCACTACAAACATCCAACACACAGTAGAGTACACGCCATGCAACTGACTATCAATAAATGACGATATCAATACAGCCGATTCCAATCTTCCTCTATGGTTCCAGCACACCCAACTGTTTCCCCCACCAGCCCACCCTACCATCCAAAGGTCTGCTCCTCCATCCTCCCAGCTCTCTCTGTGATCAACAGCTCCCCCCACTGGCCTCATCCCTCGTTACCACATTCCCTGACATTGTCTGTCTTAAACAATACATGGAAGCTCTCAGCGCTGCCCGGTCCACCTATTACTCACACCTCATCCACTCAGGCTCATCCAACCCCAAGGCTCTCTTCTCTATAATAAACAAACTCCTCAAACCCAGTGACAACACCTCTCCCTCCTTCACAGTTAATAAATGCAACGCTTTTCTTTCATTCTTTCAATCAAAAATTGACACCATTTACAGCAGCTTCAACACTCTCACTGTCCCCTCTTCATCCCTACCCGCATCCCCTCGCCTCATCACCCAACCTCTGTCTCAGTTCTCCCCTGTTTTCCCAAATGAACTATCCATCATCACCTCTAGCATGAAGTCCTCCACCAGTATTCTCGACCCCATCCCATCCAGTCTTGTCAAAAACTGTCTCCCAGCCATCGCGCCACTCATAACCTCAATCATCAACTCCTCCCTCTGCTCTGGTTCAGTACCCAAAACTCTCAAACTGGCAGCCGTCACCCCTATCCTCAAGAAACCTGGACTCAATACGGACAGCATGTGCAACTTCCGCCCTATCTCCAACCTCCCCTTCCTCTCAAAAATACTGGAACGTGTTGTCGCCTTCCAGATCAAATGCCACCTCTCCTCCAATAACCTATTTGAACCATTCCAGTCCGGCTTCCATTCCCAGCACAGCACAGAAACAGCTCTCCTCAAAGTCACCAACGACCTCCTCCTCTCCTCAGACTCTGGCCTCCTCAACATCCTCATCCTCCTCGATCTCACTGCAGCCTTTGACACCATCAGCCACAGTATTCTTTTATCCTGCTTAGAACACTCACTCAACATCACTGGCACTGCTCTTTCCTGGTTAAAATCCTACCTCACCGACAGACAACAGTTTATCAACATCAATAACTGCTCCTCCTCCATAGCTCCTTTGTCCCAAGGCGTCCCCCAGGGTTCGGTGCTTGGTCCTCTCCTGTTCATCATATACTTGCTCCCCCTTGGTAACATTATCCGCCAGCATGGTCTCCATTTCCACTGTTATGCCGATGACATCCAGATCTACATCTCCACCAATTCAATCACCACTGAAACCCGCTCTCCCCTAACGAACTACCTCAATGAAATAAAAACATGGATGCACACCAATTTCCTCTCTCTTAACTACGCAAAATCGGACATCATAATTATCGGCCCTAAATCTCTCACCAATTCCATTCACAACTTCTCCTTCACAATAGACAACTCCACTCTCTCCCCCTCCCCTCATATCCGCAATCTTGGAGTCATCTTTGACAGCCAGCTCTCCTTTGACCACCACGTCATCCAGCTCACAAGAAGCGCCTTCTTTCACCTCAAAAATATAGCCCGCCTCCGCCCACTACTCTCATTTTCTGCTGCTGAAACACTAATCCATGCATTCATCACATCCAGACTCGACTATTGCAACAGCATCCTTTACGGCACACCATCCAAAGTCCTTAATAAACTTCAATACATCCAAAACTCTGCTGCACGCCTCCTCACCCACACCCGGATATGCGAACACATCACCCCTGTCCTACAAAATCTCCACTGGCTCCCTGTCCCTTACCGTATCCAATTCAAAATCATTCTCCTCACACATAAAGCCCTTAACCACCAGGCCCCCTCCTACCTCACGGCTCTCCTTCACCCTCACACTCCTGCACGCAGCCTCCGTTCCTCAAAAGCCAACCTTCTATCTCCCCCACTTAGAACCAAGCACCGAACCTGGGGGGACAGAGCCTTCTCCATAGCTGCCCCCTCCCTCTGGAACTCACTCCCCACACACATTCAACACTGCACCGACCCTCCTACTTTCAAATCACTTATCAATCACCTCTTTAAACAAGCTTTTAATG